CAGCATGTCCACCTTGGGATTGGTACTCAGGACACCTAATGCGTTTCCTTTCCTGTCTCCACCTATGCATTTGTTGGAAGAAGCAATGTCAACCCTTCCCAATTATGACTCCTTCAGGGTTCCTGTATGAGAAGCAAAAGCTTATTTCTTATTAGCCATTTTCTCATGTTACCACATCCAAAGTAGAAACTTACTTTTCTTTGGTCCTATCACTTCTTTTTCTTTGGTGGAGGAAAATATACCAACATCAGAAGCTAATGATCTTTGTTGTCAATGGTCTTTAGAAAGTAATCCCCCAAGTTGCTTACAGTTACAAGTTACTTGATACTTGCTCTCTTTTCCTCATCTCTCAAGGTGAGGCAATTACAATCAGAACCTGCAAAAATCTACAACAAATCCTTCTCTAATGCCTTCATACTTAAAAATCTTTAGTGATATGTGACACTTGCTTTAATCTGTAACTATATGCATTTTGGTCCTAAATTATGCCTACATAAAATGTTGAAACAGTTATAGTTTGAAAAGGAGTAGTGAAATGAAGAGCAAGTCTGGTATTAGATAGAACTAGAGTTCAAATCCCACCTCTATCTTTCATGAGCTGTTGGTGGTAAGTTCCTTATTGTTTCTGAGCTTCACCTTAAAATAGTATCCTATCATTTCAAAAATGTTGTAGGCAATATAGAAGTACAATAAATAAAGTATGACAGGTCTTTGCGGGCCTATTATGCAGCAGTAGTTACGTTGTGTACTTTGCATGCATTTTACCTAACTGTCCTCTATTCTCTCTCCCTGGAAATTGGGTTAGGAGAGCTGCATCCGGGAGTTCTCATCCCTGGAACCCCTCACGCGGATCGGAAGCAACCTGGGCCCTGAGTTCCGGGAAGTCTGTTTCCAAGCCGGACCGCGTTCCTGGGAGCACCCGCGCACCGCGCCTGCGCACTCCGCCCGTCGCCGCGGACCCTGCGGACGTGCGCTCGCGGCCTCCGCGGCACCGGGCCCCGATGTACGGCTGCCGGGCCCCCACCAGCTCCAGGTGCGTGCGGAGGAATCGAGGAAGCGGGTGGAGGTGGCGCGAACCCGGTGAGGGTCAGGCCTGCCTTGGTCCCCGAGGACCCGGAGTGGGGCGCCACGACCTCAGCCTCCCCACCGCGGCGCGGGGTGCGGGGTGTCTGAGAGGAGGCTTGGAAGAGAGGCCCTCCGCGGGGCCTGTCACCCAGGGCTGCTTTTCTAACCTCCCCCACCTTTTCCGGCTACCTTTCTCTTGCTCCCTAAGTGTGAGGTTTTAGTATCGGGGCTTCGGTCAGAGTGGGGGAGAAGGCGGGGTTCAAGGCCGGCCCGGGAGGGTGGGGGAGGGGCAGAACCCCTAGGGAGGAGGCCAAGGCCTTAGGACATTATTCCTAACCCAAAGCTGGCAGGCAGGTCTGTCTTTGTTGCATTCCCCACATCTTTTTTGGGCTGTTAATTAAGACTGAGCAGGCCTTCAGCCTGGAGGCCACATTGGATTTTATTGAGGTCAGGTTTTTCCAACAGGTTAATGTGCCCAGCTCTTGTCGGAATAGTTTCTGGGTTGAACCATGGAGCAGATCTGTTTATTTTTTATTTCAGTTTAATGTAAAAATTACAGTCTTAGGTTTTTTTTTTGGATGTTATTTGTCAAAAATACCAGCGGAGAGCGCAGAACGTCGTTGCAATGGGATTTTCGAGCCCCTTTAAATACAGGGGTATGGCGCTTGAGTGTGGAAATCCCTGACCTTTCACTTATAAATAGGAGATGAGATCACCACTTGCCTCCCATGGTTCTCACAATATAGGGCTCTTGGTTAAGTACTTTCCTACATGATGCGATGACAAGGGACAATAGTATCCAGTCTTACTGTTAGTGATCAGTGATCAACTATAGACTCTTCCTGGCAGGGGAGCTATAGGTAACCAATCCTGTAATCAGAGATAGCTGCCTTGTGTGGGGCTTTTATTTTTGGTATGTTCCATGTAAACACTTGTTAAATGGAAGGAGAAGCATCCAGAAAAATTGAGAAGTCTCAGTTTCAGACCAGAATCCTACCGTCTGACCTTAGGCAATTACTCGGCTTTGCCAGCCTGGCGTCATGGGAAGCTGCCCTCCCATAGCAACCAGACTCACTGCCTGGCAGTGCATTTGGCAGTGCTTTGGGGTTTCTAGGGGGTAATTGCAGTTGTGGACTCGTCCCTTCCATGCTACAAACCATATTCAGAACATAACCTCTTTCCTGGTGCAGTGCCTTGGCTTGGATGCTGTCCTGTCAAGGACCCTGGCTGAGTCACTTCCCAGTAGCCTCCACTGCCAAGGCACTTTAATCCATTTTTGACCCAGGTCCTTTCTATCCCCAGCTCTTTATGGTCCCTCCCCTGGCCCATGGGTCCACAGGAGTCAGGAGCCTTTTGTTAGGAGCTCTTTTGCAGCAAGAGTTCCTCCTGTGTGCTCCATCCACTTAGCCCTCACCTGAAATCTTTCTGTTTAAGACCCCTGGGAAACCAGTGCTGCTTTTTGCTTCTTCCTTACACTGTCATACTACATGAATAGAGCCAAACTCAGTTTGGCTCATTGTCCTGATTGACCACCTTGACACTTAATTGCTCAACAGGACTTAAATAAATTGCTGAGTTGTTGGCAGTTCACTGGATTTATGACTTAATTTTAATCCTCACGACTCTTGCTTTGTGTCAGCATGTTTAGGGATTTTGAAGGTTGTTCACCTGAAATTTCTCTGCTCAGTGTAGTAAAAATGGGTATTAATAGCACCAACAGCTGATTGTTGCTGGGTTTATGATGTATTTTATAAATTAATATAGTACATTTGTGTGGCATTTTCCACTTGGTCTCTAATTCAATGAATTTTAAATAAATATTTTGGGATGCTATGACCAAGTGAAGAAAACTGGACACTGATACTTAGTAATCTTGTCTCATTCTATGGGCCCCACTCTTTGTCGCCCTAATAGATTACTTGGCCACTTTGAATAAGGTCACTGATTTCTTGTAGTTCCACGGTCTAGTGCTGTGTGAAGCATGTCAGGAAAATCTTCCACAAACTTGATTCCTTCCTACAGAAGTCTCACAAAGCAGTATTTATATCCTTATATGTGGTATGTGTTCTAGTACATCTCCTGGATTTTATTAAACGACGTGCTGATCATAAGCTCCTAAGTTGATTTCACAATCCAATAGTGAACAGTGAAATACAGTTTGAAAAACACAGGTAAAGCAACTGGTAGAAAATATTTACGCTTTTTTTTTTTCCTGTTTCTAATTCAAATTGTTGAAAAAAAAAATCACAGAGTATTTGATTTTGTGGTGAAGGGTATCTTCTAGAAGATGACAAACAGCATATATCTTGGTTTGCCAAATCTGACAAAAGAATGCTGAGTTTCAGGTGGCGTTATCAACATTATGATCTCAAATAGAAGATACATCAGAGTGAGATAGCATAGCTTTCTTTTAAAAAAAAAGAAAAAGAAGATAGCTAATGTGTAGATCATTGCAATTTGTCTACCTCATTTTTCTGTACTTGTTTTTATCAGGAAGTCCACAACAAAGTAGAAAAGAAAATAAAAAGAACTAAATTCATTGTGTTTAAGTTAGAAACCCTAAACATGTTATTAAGGAGCTAGGAATATGCTTTACAAATTTGATTAGTGTTGAACTAATATACATTGCTTCACAGTTTTCTAATACATGCGTTATCGTCATTGAATTGCACAGCTCCTTGATGAGGCAGGCAGTCCTGGAGACATTTCTCCATCTTAATTTTTTTTTTTTTTTTTTTGGTGGGACTGGGGCTTGAACTCAGGGCTTTACACTTGCAAAGCAGGCACACTACTGCTTGAGCCACACCTCCAGTCCATTTTGCTCTGGTTATTTTGGAGACTGAGTCTTACAAACTATTTGCTGGGGCTGATCTTGAACCTCAATCCTCCTGACCTCAGCCTCCTAAGTAGCTAGGTGCCTAGTGTCATTTCCCCATTTTAAAGATGAGGAGTCTTGTGTTTCCTTCATCTTGCCATCAAGATAACACAGTGACAAATCAAGGACTTGAACTTAGGCCTTGGGTTATTTTTTTTCCTAGTTGCCCATGTTGATCAAAAGAAGTAATTGAGTGCTGGCGGAGTGACTCCAATGGTAGAGTGCCTACCCAGCAAGTGTGAGGGCCTGAGTCTAAATCCCCAGTACCGCCCAAAAAAAGAAGTAATCGAGAGTAAATGGTGTTAATGTTGCACCTAAAATATCTTAGGTTTATACATGAAACATTTAATTCTCAGAGCATGTGTACAATATGTGCCATAGTTGAATGCAAATACATCTTATTCTTACTTTACTTTTCTAGACCATTTTTTAAAAAATGGCAAAGCAAGAGATAGGTCCCAGTGGCTCACACCTGCAATCCTAGGTATTTTGAGAGGCTGTGATCTGGAGGATTGTGGTCCAAGGGCAGCTTGGGCAGATAGTTTGCAGATCCTATCTCCAAAGTAACCAGAGCAAAATGGACTGGAGGTGTGGCTCAAGTGATAGAGCACCGGCTTCGCAAACACCAAGTCTGAGTTCAAACCCCAGCCCTGCAAAAAAAAAAAAAAAGCAAGGCAACTCAATATTGAAAAATGTATTTAATGAAAGAATAGAAAAATTGAATTGAAGTCAATTTAATGTTAAGAAATTCAGTTCAGTTCCCTTTTAATGCAGCTTCTCAAGTACAAACATAGCTGAAAACTTTAGATTCTTCGAAAGGCTCATCTATATGTATGAAATTAGTTTTATGATTAAAAGAATTCATCTAAAATGAGTGTTGGTTTATTTATAAACACAAGAAAAGTCTAGATTCTTCCTTACCCTTAATATCTTTAGCCAAAGAGTACATTACTTGTTTTCATATGTATAGTTTTAAAGCTAATATTTTCTGTTTAATTTTTAGACATCTGTGGATTGTAGGAACAGCATGGAGCCCATCAGAGCGTATCACTGAAGAGTGATGGCTGAGAGCAATTGAAACATGCTACAGATTGAGCAGTGTGCAGTAGCAAACAGATTACCCAGAAACAGGCCCTACATTTGCAATATTTGCTTCAAGCACTTTGAAACACCATCAAAGTTAGCTAGGCATTATCTCATTCATACTGGCCAAAAGCCGTTTGAATGTGACGTGTGTCATAAAACCTTTAGACAACTAGTTCATCTGGAGAGGCATCAATTAACTCATAATCTACCTTTTAAATGTAGCATTTGTCAACGCCACTTTAAAAATTTGAAGATGTTTGTGAAACACCAACAACTTCACAGTGATACCTATCAGAATGATGTTAAACAGGTCAGAAGATTGCTGGAGGCCAAGCAAGAAAACCCAGTGTATGGAGTGTATAATATCACCACAGAGGAGAGATGGGCCTTACCCCCATGCTCTAACTCTGATCCCACAGACAGCACTGCAAAGAGAAGAAAGAACATTCATGCGTGTGCAATCTGTGGCAAAATGTTTCCATCACAGTCAAAACTTGATAGGCACACACTTATTCACACTGGTCAGAGGCCTTTTAAGTGTGTCCTGTGCAGTAAATCTTTCCGACAGGCAACTCACTTAAAAATCCACCAGCTCACACATACAGAGGAAAGACCTTTTCAATGTTGTTTTTGTCAAAAAAGATTTAAGATTCAAAGCAAACTTCTGAAGCATAAACAAATCCATACCAGGAGTAAGACCTTTCAGGCTCTTTCATTAAAGCTGAAGAATCCAGAATCATGCCTCCTGCCTAATAAATTAAATGCAAAGCAGGAAGGTTTCGAACATGGTGATATGGGTGAATCTGAGGAGAGTAATCCACCTGATGTCCACTCTATTTACATCGTCCCCTTTCAGTGTTCAGAGTGTGAAGAGTGTTTTGAATCAGAGCAGATTCTCAATGAACACAAGTGTTTTCCTGCCAGAGGTGGCAAAATTCCAAGCAGGCTGAAAAGAAGCTACAACTATAAAACCATTGTTAAAAAAATCTTGGCCAAGTTTAAACGTGCTGGGGGTAAAAAAATACATAACTTTCGATCAGTGAAAAAAGCATATAAAAACAGGTTCTTGAAAAATTGTGGTCGTGTTTCTGGTGAGCAGAACTCTGAACAAACTAGGAGAACATTCATGGGTTCTCTTGGCAAACATGGAACCTATAAGACAGTTGGCAATAAAAGAAAGAAGAGACTGACTCTACCATTTTCTTGGCAAAAGCAATTCCAGAGGCAGAACGTGGGGAAAAGCCTGAAAGGGCTCCTTACTGCAGAAAGCATATTACCAGTAGATGGCTCTGTGAATAGCAAAGACTTGCCAGTCTGTGCTTCGTCGGGAGAGGAGTTCTTTGATGACTGTGATCTGCTTCATTGTGGGTTTCCAGTTCCAAGTGAAAGCCTTGCTAGAAATAAGATTTGCCCCTGTGATAGATGTGAGAAAGTGTTCCCTTCAATATCCAAACTGCAAAGACACTATTTAATTCACACTGGACAGAGGCCTTTTGGCTGTAATGTTTGTGGGAAATCGTTTAGACAGTCCGCTCACTTAAAAAGACATCAAGTAACGCATACTGAAAAGAGTCCCTATAGAAGATCTTTTTTCCAGGATTTTGAAAATGTGGACCAATTCTTCACTCATCCAAGTGATGATAACTATAATGGTTCCCAACAATGTCAGGCTCTTGGTTTTCAAAAATATGAAGTTTCAGAGTCAGATCAAATATCAGGGATGGAAGTTAAGGCAGAATCCCAGGATTTCATTCTTGGTACCTATGATAGAAATAGGCAGCCCTATCTCTCTAATGCACTTTTGGAATCAGGGCAGAGTCATTGTTATGGTTATGCAGGGTATCCTGAGAGAAATGATGGCCTTCTTTACCAATGCAGTGTGTGTTGTAAAAGTTTCCGATCCCCATCAAAGCTGGAAAGACACTATCTAATTCATGCAGGGCAGAAACCATTTGAATGCTCAGTTTGTGGCAAAACATTCAGACAGGCACCGCATTGGAAGAGACATCAGCTTACTCACTTTAAAGACCGATCACAAGTGAAAGTAGTAGTCTCTGACTCAGTTATGTAACTGGGCACCAACATTTGTGATCTCTACTGATTGTGTATTTTGTCAGAAGTTGAGTGGGTTTGTAGGCACATGCTTATCCCACATGAGTAAGATCAGAGAAAATACAGTGTGGAGGGAAATGTAAATCCATGGTGTGGTACAAACAGCTCGGCCTCATCCATTGAACTAGTCCTCTTTTAGATTGTAGCTGCGGCAAGTATCCCCACTGTATTTGTTTTACGTAATTGTTACCTATGACTCAGATTTTGTTAAACAAACTTTTCTTGCAAGAGAAAATTACAGAGCTAGTAAGTGTGAAAATGGGTAGAAAAATTATATTTGCTCGTCTTCTCAAAGCTGTTCTTGGAACTCTGGTAATTTTGCCTCTTTTCCCTTAGGTAATGATTTTTCTTTTTTTTTTTTTAAATCCGGGCTGCTGTCTGTCGTCTTCCCTAAAAGAACTTAGAAGTAGAAGAGAAGCTAGGTTGCATCTATGTACGTGTTAACTTACCAGGACTATTTTCCAAGTGCCATTATCATTTTGATAGTGTATAATTTTGCCTTTTCAGAGCAATAAATGCAGGTCATCTATTTGCTTGTTAGTGGTTGACAGCAGTAGTCATAGGTAAGACTCACCTAGAGAACTGCATTTCCAGAAAGACTTTACTTAAGTAAAACTTTGTTTTACTGCCTCTTTAGTTGAGTGGTTCTATAACAACTACCAAGTTTGCTCAAATGGCATGACTATATCTAGTTTTAGTTTTCCTCTGTGTTTTTGCAAGACACTAATAGTAAAAAGTGTTACTTTGGTCCTTACTACATTTTTATTTTAAATAATAAGGTAGTCATTCCTATAGGAATTGGATGCTTGTAGGGTTAAGGTACCATTTTTTTTCTGAACAATTGTAGTAATCACAAAATGTCCTTTATATTTGCCATAGTTTATGAAATCTTTTAAGGATGACATTTACTAGCAATAAAAAAAAACATTGTGTTTCAAAAGTGAAGTGGAGGTGGGTATTTTATGTTAGCACACATGAATATAGTGAAAAGTCCTCTATTGAAAATACGGATAATTGTAAGTCCTTCATTGTGTTCTAAGAGCTGTTTTTTTGTGAGGGAATGTGATGGGATGGGTTTGGTTTGCTTGCTTTTTTTACCCCAAGTGAATTTTAAGTAAGTTGGATTTAACTTACAGAGTTGACAATATGAGTAAAATACCCCAGTGATGTACCTGGTTAAGGAGAAACATCCAGCTACAGCAGAGGAAAATCTCTTAGGTTTCCTTGAGATACGTTTCTCCAGTGCAAGCAAGATATGGTTTACAGAATTGGCTTTATACAAAACTTTTCCAGAACACATACGTTATATCAAAGCAAGGAGTCCCTAGTTCATATTCTCTAAGAATAGAAGTTCATAATTTCATAGATCTGGAATTATGGATTTGGGGCATTTCCCTAAGCTGTTTATGTAATTTTATTCAAAGGAAATGTCTTACACAGTCCTTTCCCAACCTGAATAGGGAGAGGTCCAAGGGTTGTGCTTGTATGACTATGAGGTTTTGTTTGCGTAAGTGATATACTTTTCTTTGATCCATGCCTTTTTTAACTGTTTCATATTGAAAGTTGGGATATTGTAAAAATTTTGTCAGAGATGTTCTGTAGTGCTATTTGAAGTACCTGTAACAAAGTACTTATTTTCCTTCATTATCATTGCAAGCTTCTTAATGGAAACTTTACAGGAATGAGAAGAAAGTATACATCCATGTTGAGAAGATTAGGCAGATGTTAAATGGCGGATTGCTGCATGCTAAAACTGTGGGCACTCTTGAATTAATTACTTTGGAATTTGGAAGAAATACATAATTTTGCAGAGGGCTAGATTTCTTTTGTTTGGGTGATTCCAGGCTTTTGCATGATTCTTTACTGAAGGAGTTTGATTAGCTGAGTTAGTAGAATTATTATTGTTGATTTGTATTGCAAATGTATGTGTTGATGGGATGTAGATGGTGATAAAAATTCTTGAAAAATAAAATTTCAGAATATTTTAAAAATAAAGTTTCAAGTTACACAGTTTGTACTTTTTGTTTTTTAAGGAAAAAATCACATAATACTGGAACAAATTACCAGTAATTGCCAAACACTTGTGGGTCTGCTCCAGTCCACCTTCTACACTAACGACTTACTTGTTAGCATTCCATATCTTTGATAGCTCCTTGTCTGCAAAGGGGTATGTTGCTTCACGGCATGTCATTTGATGTACATCATCCTCTTATCCACCCTTGTCTGATTTTTCTCTAGAGCTGTACTAAGGAAATACAGAATCACTTCTCCAGTATGTACTATTATTCTTTCTGCCTCTATCTTGTGTACGTAGTGTTAGCTGAAATTAGATACAGATTCACACTATTCAAAGAAGAAACTTAGTCAAGGTTTCTTTTTTCTTTCATCTCACAATTATGGGAGAAAACAGTGCTTAAAATTTTACATATGTAAAACAAGCAATTAGAATTACAGCTATCTTAGAACATTTGGAATGTGGGTATCTAAGAGGAACCCTTTATTAGAAATGATTGCAAGGACTTCTATGATGCAGAATGTGTCTGCCTTTTAGAAGCCTCGGGGAAGGTGAGAGTTAATCCCCATCTTGTGATTTCTCCTATTACCAGTGAGAAGAGCTTAGAATGCCAGTGTTAAGTAGAATTCTGTGAGCACTAGGGACAGTGAGGAAACAATTGGGGAAAAAAAGCGGGTGGTAAAGGGTGAGACATAGAACTGTTTTTGCATCTGCATTGGCAAATGTTTACTGATTCTTTGAAGTTGAACTTAAGCACTACTTCCTCCGGGAGCTTTTCTGGCTTACCCAGGCACTTCATCCCCTGTTCCACTTTTTGTTTATAACTCTTTTGTTAGTCAGTTTTCTGATACCATAGCAAAATACTCAAAATACATAAAAAGAGGAAAGGTTTATTGAGGCTGAGTTTTGTTGGTTTCATCCTTGGTCACTTGGCTCTTTAGGTCTGTGGTGAGGCAGCACATCCTGGCGGGAAGCATGTGTTGGAACAAGCTGCTCACCTGGTGGCTGGAAGGTGAGTGAGCAAAAGATCATGTTTCGCAGTCCCCTTCAGGGTCACAACCCAGAGACTGGAGACCTTCCACCAAGCTCCACCCTTTGTGGGTTCCGACCACCCTTCCAAAGCACCAAGCTGAGGACCTAACCCTTTAACACATGGGCCTTTTGGGAATATTACAGATCCAAACCATAGCGCCTGTTGTCACCATTTGTAGACACCAGTGGTTTCCAACCTTCATGTGCACTGCCTTGCACCCTCATGGTTTCTGATTCAGTGTTGGGGTCATTTGTTGTTTACACAGGTTAACTTGCTGTTGTCACCATTGAAATGAACTCCATGCTTCTGGAAAGCCAATTCATTTTTTATGTTTTCGACAGAGGGCGGAATCCAGTGTCTGGAAAGCAATAGGTTTTTCAAGTGCCGAATGAAGAAAGAAAGAAATGTAGCAATTATTTATACCTTTTATCACATATTTGGAATATTTTAACAAAAAAAAGCACTTACACAAATACAGTACAGGAAGCACAGATTCCTGAAAGAAGCCTAAATTGTTTCAAAATAAACCCTAGGATGTCTTCACATAAGGTATTTATACATTTATGTTTATATAATGGTGTAAAATGACTGGGGTGTGGTCCTGGATAAAGGAGAAAAACGCTGGCCTGTGGTGTTGACCTTGGGGTGCTGGTGGCAGAGGTGGAAAAAAGAGGGGACCAGGAAGCCATTGGACCCTTTGTAGTCTAAGTCATCCTTTGGGCAGCAAACAGAGTCAGACAGTTGGGACAGTCTTTAGACAGGGTTGTGTCGGAATGAGGGGGTCTCATAAGCACCAAAGATAGAGAAAGTTGGGCAAAGCACCAGCAAGATAGAGACAGATTCCCTGGGAGGAAGGGGGAGGTCAGGAGTCAATAGCCAGCCCTAGACAGAGTGGTGGTTGACCTGGCTGATGGATAGTCAACCTGTGACTTCATAGATCCTTTCATTAACTCTCAGAGAATGAGTTTGCCTTCTGTTGTGTTGAAACAAAAGCCAGGAGACACGCATGCTCCAAACTTCCCTCCTCCTCACTCACAAATGCTTCTCATCTTTACCCCTTCTCTGTGTCTCCTCATCTTTTTCAGAATCATGTTCTTCCATCTTTCTTCCTTGCCCTCTTCCACAAACTTCACTTATTGTCCCTTTTTTCTGTTAACTGGTATTTCCACTCCACTGATTCTCTCTACCTAAAAAATTAAAACACTGTGTGTTAATGTTTAGTTATGAGCCTCAAAATGCTTTACTAGTAGGACTTTTATTGGCTTGCATAAATTGGAGTCCACTGGCTAGAAAAACTGTTGAATCATACATTTAAATCACTACTGCTTTCTTCCATCTACTCTGCCTCTCACGGTGACAGGCTATTTAGCTTTGTGGTTTTAGGATGCTTTGTAATCAGTGTCAGACTTCCTTCATGATGGGTAGAAAGGTGTAGGAAGTGGTTGAGAGATCCAGAAACTCTCACAGGAGCAAAGAACAACTTTTCTAGAATCACAGCAAACCTCACTCTATCATCTGCCATAACAGCTTCACCAGCACATTCCTGAAGTGACCACTGTCAGCAGAGATAGGATTGCCCAAGCTGGAGCTGGAACTCCACTTCCTGTTAAGCACATGGTATCCTGGGGATGATAGGGAAAACTGGCCAAATGTGAGGGTGTGTGAAATATGCAGTCAACATTGTCCCTGTGCCTAGCTTAAAGGTGGTAGTGAGATCAAGCGACTTTATTCTTGTTTTTCTGGCTGCTGTCGTTTTACTCTTTCATGGTCAGAACTGTTGAACATGTGTCTCCCACCTCCTTACTCTTAGCTCTTTCTTATCTGGTGCCTCTCACCTCCCTGTGAGCTGTCATCATGGCTGTTGGAGTGGTCCTCATTGGTTACAATGCCAGCATCTCCTCCTCTGCTTCACCCCTATCAGCTGGCAGTCTCAGTTTGACTGATCCTAGTTGCTGCTCAGCAATGAGTCATGATCTGTGCTATCAGAATATTCACACCTCCTTCACAATCATGACTTCAGGAACAGGTAACCCAGGTTTGACCAGATTGGTTAAGGGGTAAACACTGATGTGAGAACAGAGTGGAAATGTGTGCTTATTTCAGTGATTGAGGAAGGAGAGGTAATATACAAAAGCTCTCTCCACATTGGTACCATGAAGTATGCACATCTGGCCATGAAGTCAAAACAAGAGGGAATTAAGTGAGGGTCAAAGCCAAAAGAGTCACAGAGAAATGGAACTCATACCTAGCCAAGTGCCTGAAGCCTTCTTGTCACTAGATTTTTAAAAAATCTATTACACATACAGATTTTAATTTAATTTTAATTTTTTCTTTTTTTAAATAAAAAATATTCCAACCAACAATGGTCACCAATAGTCTCCTAATTCAAACTTATGCCATTTGAAATCTTGTCCTTTCATTTGTCAGTTTTGACAACTTTGCTCTTTGAAACTTCTGGAATTATGTCAAAACATCAATTTTGCAATCCAAATATGTGTAGTTTATCGTATGGCTATACCTCCATAAAGCTGATAAAGATAAAGTCTCGTTTTTTACACAACAGCTTTCTTTATGACTGAAAGAAACCCCAAGATCCCATTTGTCCCACCGCCCCTCTCACTAACCACAAGAACTCGCACACCACCACCTGCCTGTCCCTTCCTGTGACCCCAGTATCGCGCCCTGGGTGTTTTCTCTCGGCCTGCCATTAGGAGGCGCTCGCGCAGGAGGTCGAGCCCGCCATACACTTGCGGGACTTAATGCCTATAGTAACTTCCGGTCCCGTTCCGTTCCACTTCCGGTGGGACGCACGGATTGCGGTACTGGTTCCGGAGGTACCGTGAGCGCCCCATACATCCGGTCACTGGGTTTCTGCTCTCTGGACTAGGTTCCGCGGCTGCTGCTTGGAAGCGCGACTAGGTCGCCGCTGTTGGGGCAATTGTTTCATTTGCTCCGACTGCGGGAGAGTGCTGCGATGGCGGCCCCTGCGCAACCTAAGAAGATCGTGGCCCCCACGGTGTCCCAGATCAACGCGGAGTTCGTGACGCAGGTGCGCCGGGCCCGGCGGGTGCTGGGGGCGGGATGCTCGGTGCCTCGCGCGGGCCTAGTGGTCGCCGGGGGCAGAGGCCCCCGCCTGGGTCTGCGACCCGGAGGACCGAGAATGCTTGGCTGTGCCTCGACCATCAGAGGTGGGCCACCAGTGCCTGGGTGGTGGGCACGGGGATAGTAAGGAGACAAACACCTGCGCAAGCCCCGTACTCGCGGAGCGTGGTGAGCGCGCCGTGCACCGGCGCCGCCCTTGGCCCTGTCCCCGCGGTGTGTCACGGCCGAGCCCGGAGTCACCTGGGGTCCTGCCCGACCTCCAACTCCACTCCTACATTATTCTTGTGCTTTAAATCCGTCTGCTATCCTAAGCCTGTCATCTTGTGCGTCCCGTTTCCCTCTAGCCGGTTCTTGTTGCTGTCTCAGTGACCTCAAGCAGGTGCAAATATCGTATCACCTGCCTTCCATAAACTTTTTTTTGGGGGGGAGGCGGTATTGGAGAGTTTGAATTCAGGGCCTCCTGCTTACCAGGCAGGTGCTCTTCTGCTTGAGCCAGTACCCCAGCCCTTTTTCCTTTATTTATTTTTCCAATTGGGTCTCTCATTTATGCCCAGGACCAGCGTGGACTGCGATCCTTCTATTTATGCGTGCGCCACCACACTCAGCTGTTGGTTGAGATGGGAGTCTCACTGGCTTTTTGCGTGGGCTGGCCTTGAATCGAGCCTGGACTTAAAGTGTTTATAAACAGTTCTAATTGCCCTTAGGATAGTAACCACAATGACTAGAATATGTGACCTAGCTTGTGCTTATTTCTTCCTTTCTCTTTTTCTCTTCCTTTCTCACTTTACTCCCTAGCCATAGTGAGCTGCATCAGTTACTGGTATGCACCATGGTATTCACCTGGTTTTTTGACAGCTTCTCTCTGTTTGTAATGCTTACTTTAGTCTCATATTCCTCTGGTCTTGATATCCTTCTACACTCTTTACAGAGCCGTTTCCTGACATCAGAGCTAAATAACTTTAACTGCAGTGAAAGTTATTCGTTCGCTTTGAGAGGGGAGAGCCAGACAAATGAGCAGTATAGCTGCAGACATTGACAAGTGCTCTGCAGAAAATGAAATGATGGGACAGTGACTGGTGTGGGGCACATGAAAGGCAGTCAGGACAGTCCTCTCTAAGGTGACATTTGAGCTAATGCCTGAAGACAGAGAAGGAGCTGGTTTTAGATCAAGGGAACAGTCCAGGGAAAGCAAGTGCTGATGCTGGGGTGTTAGTGTGAGGAAGGATGAGGTGGCTGAGGCACAGGGAGTGAGGGAGAATGGTATAGGCTGAAGACAGAGCACTGTGTAGGAACCAGAGTTCAGATTTCATTCTAAGTACAGTGGCTTTTAATGGACATCTTGTACATAATGTTTTTGAAAGGTCCCTCTGGCTAAGGTTGAGACTGGATGGGAATAAGGGAGTGAGTGACATGGTTACAGGTTTGTTCTATTGAGAAGGCAGAGACAGCAGGACTAAGGTAGGGAAGGTGCAGGAAAGAGATGAATGAAGCATAGTTTGAATAGCCGGTGGATGGTCTGCACAGTTACTGAGATGAGGAAGAAGGTTCAGTCCTGTGGTGGCCACATAAAGTGTGAAACTGTTGAGAAGAAACTTGAATGTGTCAGGATGAAGCATATTGGCAAGCACATTGGATGAAGCATATCTGGGCTTAAATATAAATTCGGGGATTATCAAGCCACAGTGACAGCTACAACTGCAGGATGAGGGAGATGTCCCAGAGAACACTGTAAGTAATCACATGACATTTATGGCATTTGTGTTAGATTGTGAGAGCTGAGTCTATGGTCCAGGTCTGTTTTGTTCTTGCGATTTCCCAGCACTTGGCACTGTACAACATTCTTGAGGTGTGATCAGTAACTGCTCATTGAATGAATGGATGAGTGAGTCATGAACAAATGTGCCAGACACTGAGCTGGAGGAGAGGGGCTTTTGCAGCAAATGCTGAAGCCTGAGTTTGCCACGTGCTCTGTGAGCACTTCTAGGCTTCAGGGAAAGGTAGTCCTCATCTTTAAGGTCACAGTCTTTGGAAGGAAATTCCAGAATAGAGATGTGAGGGAAGCCTTGAGAAGAGAATTTTAAATGATTACCTTTGTCTAAGGGAGATTTTCCAACCTAGAAAATTCCTTTTGAGATGGACTTTGAGATGTAGACAGCAGAGTGGGGAAAGTCATTTTCTAGGTAGAGGGTACATCTCAGATCTTCTTTATTGTTTATATAGACAAATGAGATTGAGGAGTTAAATGTAAAAATTAAAGATCTGAACTTTGACATCACATTTAAAAGTTTTTGTTTTACCTGGTACTGGAGAGTAGGGGCAGGCAGGATGTACTTGAAGGTGATGGTATCTGAGAGATTCTAGATTAGAACCCTAGTTCTCCAAAAGGAGAAACCTAGAGAAAAGAGACCTGGTAGATGTCTAATAAGTGATTGCAGCTCTTTAGGCAACTTCAGAGGTGCAGGAAGTTGTTTAAGTCAGACTCAGACTGAGACAGAACTTAGATTTTTATCTGTAAGTTCCTGAATCCATCAAAACACATTAGACTCATTTTCCTATGAGTATGATTTAAGGACAGATGGCTGAGTTTATGGGATGCCCATAGGAGTGGAATGAGGAAATAAGGACATCACAGAATGATGGGTTTTTCCACTGGGTTGGAGAAAGTGTGATGTGGTTGCTGTAATGTTTGTAGACACTTTTTGAGAGTTCTCTAAGCACACTGTTAGATGCTGAGCTATTAAAGCAAAGAGGATGCAGGTGCCATATTTCAGACGTTCCAATTAGATGAGGAAGATAAATAAGCAGACAAATGATTGTAATACAGAAGATAGGACTAGATAGAAGTTATTTACAAAACAGAGAGAAGGAAACCGGGATTACCATCATCAAGTGGTGTTGAAGAAGCCTCACGGAAGCATAGCATTTCACATTTTACTTCATTTGTCTCTGTCCTTTATTGCATGCAGTTATCCCTCCATCTGTCTGTCAGACATTATCTGCGTGTCAGCAGTATGCCATAAGCCAGGGCCTCAAACTCCTACTCCTCCTGCCTCTGCCTCCTGAGTGCTGGGATTACAGGTGTACGCCTGGCTGAGTTTTCTATTGTTTAAGAGGTTGCAGTCTAGTTTGAAAAGCAATAAGAACCTTTTGTTTCTTGAATATTATATAATCCATCTAAATATCTGAAGAGATTATATATGTATTTACATTTCTAGATAAACCTAATCTGCTGAAATTTAACATAGCACTCTTATATTTTCTGTAACAGGTTTATAGATGACTTTTTCAGATTTATTTGTGTTTCTGGGTGTATGGTAATTTAAAGATTATTTTCCACATCAACATTCATGAAGATTTTGAATCTGACTTTTATATTTGCCCAATTATTGACTAACTGTGACTGTGGGTAGATCACCCAAGACCTGGATTTCCTTGTCACTGTGCCACAGGTGTTTGATCTAGTTGTTAACTGGACCATACTGTTTCCTGGGGGTTGTTGGAAAGGTCTGTTCTGGTTTTTGAAGCTGCAGGGCTGGTTTCAGTGCAGAGCGCTGCTGGCATTTAGTGGACTGGGGCCAAGACACCAACTAAAGGAAGTCTGTGGTGTTCCTTTAGAATTGCTGCACCCCTAGTACTAGCCCTACCTCGGTGGGAAGAGCTGACCACTCTGTGATCTCTGTCTTCCAGCTCTGCAGAGGCAAGTCTGACTTACTGTTGGTACGGTTTTGTTTTGCAGTTAGCCTGTAAATACTGGGCTCCTCACATTAAGAAAAAATCACCTTTTGATATAAAGGTAAGCATTTTGATTTGCACACAATTATTTTTTTTTTGGTAGCACTGGGGTTTTGAACTTAGGGCCTCAGTCTTGCTAGTGGGCACTATTACTACTTGAGCCACTCCACCAATCCTTTTTTGTGATGGGGTTTTTCAAGGGCTGGCTTTGAACTGAGATCCTCCTATCTCTGCTTCTGGAGTAGGTGGGATTACAGGTGTGCCACCGGCACCTGGCTTGCAATCTAGTTTTTGAATAGTTATGCTCTTTGTACCTAGTTTTTAAGGGTTACTTTTACAAAAGCTTTCCATAGCTTTTAAGTTAAAAACACAGTTTTAATTAGTAATTACTCATGTTAGGTAATTTGAAAAATAATTAAAGTTACACATAAGAAAATAAAAATCCTTAGCCAGTGATAACCTGTTACTGTTTTGTTTCCTTTAAGCTTTTCAAAAAATATATGTATGTATGTAATTTATTTAACCATTTTCCTCTTTATGGAATGTATATAATAAATGTCTTTAAATGTGAAGAAAATTTAATACAAGGTTTTTTTGGCAGTTCACTTAGGATGTCATCTACTGTTTCCTCTTTTAATGTTACATTGGTAAACTGAGACAGAAAATGGTGTCAGGAGGGAGCTGCTTAATCCAGAAGAGAAGATGATTAGGACCAGTAATACTCTATAAGGGAATGGACCTGGGGTTTAACTGAACCAATTTAGAATCAATGAAAGAAACAGCTCCTAAATGTGGGGCTTATTCTACGTATTGCAGACCGTCACCCAAGTAACGACATGTTGCAGGCTGGATTTTGTCTACCCTGGCTCTCATCTGGATAATAGGGTGTATGTAGCAAGTAGCATGTGTTTCTGTTATGTCTTCATACTTTTAAGTTATTGTCAGTCTGGTTTTTGAAAACTCATTGTTAAGATTCATAGACGGAGTCTGATAGCATGTATATACTTCAAGATTAAGTTTTAAAATGTGATTTTGTGCTGGCAGCACGGCTCAAATGACAGAGTGCCCAGAGTTCAAACCCCAGTATCACTAAGTAAATAAATGAAATGAGATGAAATAAAATGGGATCTTTGAAGTATTTTCTCCACATATAGTTGTTGTTAACACATTTTAATGAACATTTCAGGGGTCTTTTTATGTGGATAAATTTTGTTATTTGCCTTTTCTACTACTTTGCTTTTTGCTATTTCATGTTTTGAGAAGTACGTGATAATTAGAAAAAAATGTCGTGTTATTTTAATAGTAGCAATGTTTAGCAGCTTTCCTAAACCAATTTATTTTGTGTAGTCTCAATAATTAAAAACTACCAATTAGGGTCTGAAGAAGTTGTTTGAAATATTAAACGTTGTTATATTTTTGTCAATAGGTTATTGAAGATATATATGAGAAGGAGATTGTCAAGTCAAGGTAGGAATGAGTTTAATTTTCACACATTGGGATTACAGGTAGACCAGGTTGGATCTTGTCTCAGCTGCTGACTGTAATGGTAACTTTTGTATTGATCGTTGGGGAGATGGTGGCTAGAAAAACTTCATGCCATTGACTCACAAGTGGTTTCTGTACCTTCTCAGTTTTGGGTCTGATTAGAGGGATTAGATCACATATAGTTTGTTTGGCTTTTGAAGGAATGTGAGAGAGAGGAAACAGCGGTTTATTTCATTCCACTAACAGTAATTTCTTATCATTTCTGATAAATCTTCTAAAAACATTCTTTAAAATTATAAATGGAAAAGTAAAAGGTGTGTGTATAGTGAGAGAAAGGATTTTCTAGGATCCTTTTTGCTTCTATATTAAGGATATACCAATCTGAACAATCTTTAGTGGAGAGTAATTGTTTTTCTTTTAAATCCTTCCTCAGATAATTTCTGTAACAAAATATCTAAACACTGTCAGTGATTTTTTTTTAAGCCATAGAAACTTGGCTACATTGTTTTTAATTATTAGCTACATTATTTTTGTCATTTTAAACTGTGTTGGGACTCAAAGAGCTTCAGTATGGCACTTTCAATGTTCATTTTCTTATCTTGTACATAGTTTGATTACAAAGAATACATCTATAGCATACATTGGAGTACATTTAAATTTTAAAAAGTTTTAATGACCAGTATTTCAGACTAGCACCTAGCAAATGATTTTGCTGAGCTATGTGACATTTCAGTATTAGGGAATGCCTTATATAATATTTATTACCCTGTAGGCAGTTTGTACTTCTAAGGCATTCTCATAACATCCATTCCAGAAGGCATCCAGGAAGTAAGTTAATCAGTTCTTAATGTTCTTATGGTGTAAAAGAGATCACTTCTAATATTTCAAAATTAGATAATTCTTTTTGTTCTCTTTATTCATATATTCATATGTACATACATTATTTGGGTCATTTCTCTCACTGTCCCCTACCCCCTCCTTCTCCCTTCCACCCCCCAAAATTAGATAATTCTTGAAGGGCCTTTGCCCAGTCCCCTACTTACTATGTAGCATCTTAATACAGTTTGGTTTTGCTATTGTTGCCCTTCTAAGATTTGTCAAGCTTGTCTTAATGTATTTTTTTATCCAAGTTTGATTTAAAAGTCTTAAACATAATAATTGTTATTGGCTAAGTGCTTAGTACATACCAGCTTCTGTTCTAAGCACCGTGCATGTAGCAGCTCGTCCCCACAATAACCCTGGGACACTTTTATTGTCTGCATATTAAGGAAAGTGAGGTACAGAGAAGCCAGGCATTACATCCTCTTCCCTGGCTGTTAGCAGTGCGGTGTTCTCAAGCAGGACCCCATCCGTTGGCCTCTAGAAATCTCTTAACTTGCACACTTGACTGATTATGAACCCTAGTATGGTTCCATCCAAATGGGTTTTATCCAAAAAGAGTGACTTACAGAGCATTTTATTTTTGCCAGAGTGTTTATGTTTGTTTATATTTTAAATGTACAAACCCTTTTATTATAAAACATGATACTAAACGGGCACAACAGAAGCGTACAGCCTTGTAATAGTAACTCGTAACTACCACATAGGTAAAAACAAACAGAAAGCCCAGATCAGTGTCACTGTTGCAGAAACTGCTCTTGTTCCTTTGCTGTAACATTTTAATATGTAAGTGTGAAAATGAACACTTTACATTTGGGTTTTTTCTGACCTTTAAATAAATGGAATCACATAGAATGTACACTTTGGTGGCTGGCCCATCTTTTTAAATAGATGAAAGTCAGTAGTTAAGATCACAATGCTGGGGCCCTTGTCAGGTTCTCAACATAACTTTTTGGGTTTTTTTATTTTTTTGCTTTTGCAAGAGGCTGCACAGCTCCAGACCTTGTGTTTTCATATAATCATACCCCAAGAGAGGAAGCAGGTGCCAATGTGGCAGCCGAGGAATTCCCCTGGCTTTCTTACCAGATTTAGTCTTGCAGGTACTGATTCAGTTGTCCCACTGGGGAAGATTTAAGGTTTTGGCACCCTGCCAGGCCTAAATGTATGCTGTCAGTAAATGCAGGTAACTTACAAAAGTGTATAATTCTTCAAGTGCTTGCATTCCTGACTTTCCATACTTTGCAGCTCTTCTGATCTGAAGTTTAGCACCAAGATTAGGTTGTGTCTTCATGTGCACGCAGTTAGGCTGGAGTGCTAGAGTGTGGCTCAAGGTGGCATATCCACCTGTAGAAGCCAGTGCCTGCACGTTGCTCTTCTGTCTTTGTGCTGTTGCACAGTCAAAACCTTCATTTCATTCTCCCTGAGTTCTGTGACATTACTTGCTCAGTGAAACTATTTAAGAGGTCAGAAATCAGTAGAGTAGGATTTTGGCAGGATAGTGGTCTTCTGGGGTAGTCCAGATTTATAGTTCATACACATTCAATTTTGCAACCTGAAAACTATTAATCTAACAGCAGTGTTCTGGTCTGGCTACTTTATTTCCAGTATTACAAAATGGTAAAGCTGAATTCGTGGCCATTTGAACCTGCTTTTGGAGAGATACCTCGTGACTATACCATTGTTTATTCATATAAAACCAAGTACTTCTGTTTTAAAAAGACAGTGTAATAATGTGAAGAATCTGTTAATCCTTATGAAATACTCTGTAATAGTTTAGGTTCACTGTCAAGACTAAGTAAAAAGTGTGTGAAACGTCTGACTTCCACATTTGGGACAATAAATAGATGTGCCCATGAAGTGAAACCTGTTAGTCCTTAAGACTTTGATACAGATTGGTTTTTGGCAGCTGGGATCTGGTATTATAAAGTCTAATGTATGACTTAATTTTAAAACAAGATTCCAAAACATTGCATTAAGAACTCTGAGGTGTTAATATTTCGTATTTTAAAATGTTCTTTTTCTTTTTCGTTTCTAAGGTTTGCCATCAGAAAGATAATGCTGTTGGAATTTAGGTGAGCTAAAAAGCATTATTGTGGTAAAGTTAAAGATGACAGTGTGGTTTAAGTTTCAGCTACAGTTTTGATGTGTTTCTGCAAGTGATTAAGAATTCTGCAGGCTGTGGTGAGGCTCAGTTGCAGAGCAGGTAGGTGTGGCTTGTACCAGGCTCTGGATTTAGTCCTCAGCACCAAAGCAGCAGCAGCAACAAAAACACAAAGTCTAAATTTGTGAAGACTGATCTTTGCGTGCTAGGCCTATTTTGAATGTGTGTATGTGTCCTTTGTCTTCAGATGTGCCCCATTGTCAAGATGACTTGTAGTTTTCCTCATTTCTCACCAGTTGGGATAACATGTGGGGAGCAATTTCTGTTTTGCTTGGTTTCTCTGGTGATCTGTGGGAATAAATTAGGGTATATTCTATAGCCATATTTTCTTCCTTCCCCACTAAAGTCCTGCTACCAAAGCAGCGTTGTTTCACATAGCCACTGATAACCTAAGTATTTAATACAAAAGAGAGTGTTCAACTTTTAATTATGAAGGCGTATTAGGTCATGTTATGACCAGGTTTGGCTAGTGTGTTGAAAATGAAAGCCAGGGTTGTTGTCGGTGACAGTAATACTCGCTGTTTACTGATGCTTGCCTTGTATTAGGCATAGTGGAAAATGTTTTATGTACAGAGCAGCTATTGCAGCCCTGCAAAGTGAATATCATCCTCTCTGTTCACGGGAAAAAGCTGTGATTGGAGGTTAGGTTGTTTGTTATTACAGTGTAGTAAAGTGATGACAGAGCTGGGATGTTAAAACTCATGGTTTTTCCACTTTACTCTGTTCCCTTGAAATCTAGTCTGCATCAGAGCCCAGGGCCTCCCATTTTATTATTATCATTAGCATTAGTAGTGAGCCAGGGCCCACTACAGACTCAGCAAGCACTCTTACCACTTAGGCCATTCCACCAGCCCTTTTGTTTGTTTTGTCTTTGAGATAGGGTCTTACTAACTTTGCCTGTGTTAGCCTGGAACTTGGGATCCTCCTGTCTCCAACTTCTGAGTAGCTGGGATTACAGATGTGTGCCACCGTGTCTGATAGAGCCCTTGTATTAATAACTTATCCTCTGAACCTCGTTAAGAATGGTATGACGTACATGGCCTTGTCATTCTCATAGAGGGAAATAGAAGGTTGTGGTTACGAATTAGCTAATGAGTTGAGTTCCCACTGTATCTTAAGAACTGTATTAGGATTGTGACAAGGTCTAATTTAAAACTTAGATAGTCTAGTAAAGTCTTCCTATTTTATAGAGAGAAAGTTGAAGCTAGAAAGTAGACCCACCTTTTGAGAAAACTTGGTTTTCCACAATACCTGAAATAATAATAATAAAAAGGTTTATTTTGGTTTCGGGTTTAGAGTGTTCAGTCCTTACCCGGTTGGCCTTGTTGCTTTGCACCTGTGACAGCCAGTACTTTGTGGTGGGAGCATGTGGCAATCAAGAGGCAAGTGAGACAGGAAGGAGCCAGGCTCTCTGTATTCCTTTTAAGTTCATACTCCCAGTGATCCAACTTCCTTCCACTAGGTGCCACCTCCTGAAGGTTCCACCACAATAGCCACATGGGCCTTTGGGGGACATTCAAGATATAAAGTGTAACAAAGGCAGGTAAAAGTTGGAAGGGTGCTGGTATACATGTAAGATTAATCAGACTTTGGGAGCCAAGAAACTAAGAGCATTGGGTGCCAGTGGTCACACCTATAATCCCAGCTACTCAGGAGGCAGAGATCAGGAGGATCGTGGTTTAAAGCCAGACTCAGACCCTATCTTGAACCAACCCATCTCAAAAGGCACAGGTAGTAGAGTGCCCACGTAGAAGGTGTGAGGCTGTGAGCTCGAACTCCAGTGCTGCCCAAAAAAAACTAGAAGCATTTCAGGAGTTACAGAAGAAAGCAACAAAACACTCTGGAGGCATTCATGACACTGAGAGATTTTTAATAGGAAGTGAATGTTATCTTTGGGAACTTTTATGTAATTTCCGTTTGAGAATGTAATTTTCTCTGTGCCACCCTCCAGACACAAGTATAAAGCTTGTAGTAGAAAAAAAAGTGAGATGGCTTGGAAAAGCTATCAGGGCACAGAAAGGTGAACTGAGAAGGACGCTTCTATGGAAGGTCATTGCAGGAAGTGTTACATATTATACAGATTGCATTTGCTGCAATGCCAAAATGCAGTTGAGAGATACTAAACACACCCATCAGTCTGAGAAAAGAGATGTAGTTGGAGTCAGTACCTTATCTATATTGGCCAAAAATGCGAGACCCTCTCCAAAAAGTAACTTAAAAAAAAAAAAAACAGGCTGGGGGTGTGGCTCATGTGGTAAGAGCATCTGTAAGGCCCTTTGTTAAAACCTCTGTACTGCGATAGATAGATAGACAGATAGATAGATAGATAGATAGATAGATAGATAGATAGATAGATAGATATGAATTTACTCTGTAGTCAGATGGCACACAAAATAAGACACTATTATTAAAAATTGTGGCAAGCTAGTGATATCCCTGGAGCATTTAACAGAAGCAAATATGAAGATAACCTGGAAGAATACATATTCCTACATCACTGGAAAAAATCTACAAATTAACCCTGGTAAAGGAGAGTTCACACTTCCAAATTACAAAGCAAATTACACTAACTGAAAGTGAACAGGCAAGAACAGAATTAGAACTTGAGATACACTGTCACATTGTTATGTTTGAATTTGTTATGGGCATAAGAGGAATAGGGTTTGTGATCAAGAAACAAGACACTAAAATGGGCAGACTTGGGCAAAATGAAAATAAAATCATTGATACTTAAAAATGAAATGGGCAAAGGAAGTAGCAAGTTAAGTGTAGCTAAAGAGGAAATTAGTGAGTGATATGATAGATCTGAGGAATCTAACTAGAAAATAGTAAAGATTAAAATTAAGTAAGAGATACAGAGGCTACACTGACATGATAGTCTAGGAGAACTTTGAAGGGATTAGGGAATGGGAAAGTGCAGTTTGGAAGAGGTAATCTTCAGGGATTTTCTAGAAGTGATGAAACACACGAATCTCCTTTTTTAAAATTAGTGGCTTCATTATGATATTTCCACACATCATGCATGTACTTTGATCATATTTCCCCTCCATTGCTCTTATCCCTCTCCCTAAAGTCTTTAAATTCCAGAAACAGTAGAAACATAAACAGAGCCACAGCAGGACAACAAAGATAGAACGGAGGTCCTAAAATCTGCTAGGCCAGCAAGACCTGTTACACAAGGAGGACAAAGGACAAACAGGTTGCAGCTTTTTCACTTTTAGCAGTAGAGAAGGTAGTGGGATGAGACACTCCATTATTCTGCATAGAAACATAATACCATCTCCCAGGATTCTACATTAACAGGGCATTGCAGATAGAAATTCCACAGGGCCCTTGTGAGAAAGGAATAAAATGAAGCTTCACTCATTTGTCTTTTTTTCTTTTCAATTTTGTAATTTTTGTTCATTTATCAAATAGCAAACTCCTTAGTCTCCCATTTGGAATCTTTTGACTATTATTTTGTATAAAATTTTATCTAGCTCCCTAGGTTGTTGCAAATTAACCAAGAAGGATTTCTAAAGGTAGCCCTTTGGGAATGCCAGTGAGCATAAACTCTGAAGTGTAAGAAGCAGCAGGAAACCATAGTATTGTTAACAAGGACAAGTGTGCTGGAGTTGTGTGGGTGGTGCTGTAAGGCACCAGCAAATCCCGCCTTTCCCCGCTAGTGGCTGGCAGCCCAACACAGTAATTGATGTGTTTAATTACTTTGAGTGCTGAGAAGTGGCTCAGTTACAAGTTGCAAATGGAAATATTTAAATTTAAGAATATTTCCACAAGTCTTATAAGAATTTTGGTATCCTGAGGGGAAATGCCAGTTACCTTGAGAACTGACTTAGGTTGAATGCCTTCTAAATTAAATATTCCAAAATCTCCTTTTGATTAAGTCTGACAATTTCTGAAAGTCGTTTTTTCCTGATCTGAGTTGGTGTTAATACATTTATTTGTGAAAGTGCTCATTATGTCATTTTGTTTTAGAGCTGATATTGATCAGGTATTTTTGTCTTTTGCTTCTTGAGAGTCCTAGATAAGGACTATGTAGTGGTCTGCTGGTGATAATAATTGTAAGTATACATTTTTAGATGTTTTCCTAGGTCAGTGGTAGCAGTACAGTGACTGGTGGTAACTAATGAAAATTCTATGCTTTTTACTCTCTGCAGCCAGTATCTCGAGAACTATCTATGGATGAATTATTCCCCAGAGGTGTCCAGCAAGGCCTACTTGATGTCCATCTGCTGTATGGTGAATGAGAAGTTCAGAGAGAATGTGCCTGCATGGGAGGTAACAGAGCTACACCATAGCTTTCACACTGTGCCCACTTAAGCCTTTATAAATTAGCACAACTGATAATAAAAGTACTTTTAGGGTAGAACTGTACCCAACAGTAAAGTACTATTAAGGAAAACAGTGGATATGTAAAAGATAGTAGCACTTTTCTTTTGATTTCAGTACTTTCTTCCAACTAAGTTGCTATGAATAAAAAATGAGTGTAGATTCTTTTCCTGCTCTGTGCTTAGAAACAGAGGACGGCCTGGATTTAGAGACTACATTAGGAGCTGGCACAGTAAGTTGTATTGTGAGCGCTAATGGGTAACTTCAGAAGTCAACACAGATGGTTATATTGCAATTTCAGTCTCTTTCTTCTTCGATTTGGGATCTATATTTTATTTCTTAAGTTTTTAATGAGGTAAAGTTTTCTTTGTGCTGGCTCCACATTGGTATGCTCAGCAGAAATCCAAAATGTGGGTTTGCCTTGCTCACCATAAAGAAAAGGTATTTTGAGAAAGTATCTCTGGAGTGAGATGGTGTTGAAGATATTAGAGTTGCTAAGAAGAATCTGTGGATTCTTCTCTCAAATATCAAATGCACATTGCAGCTGAGTGAACTGTGGGTGTCATGTCTTAGGGAGTAGTCCTAGGGGATGTTTTAGCCAGATAATGACTTCATCACCTTGATGTTGTGAAGATGACTTGGGTGACTAGGGTTTAAGGTAGAGAAATAACAGCTCAGGGAACCCTGATTATCCGTAGTAGATTGCCTGAAACCTCAGTACACTGAACCTAGTGTTCTGCAAGTTCCTGTACCTGCATATGTACAATAACGTTCAGCTTCTAAGGTAGGCATACACTAACATTCCCACCAGCACTGCTGCACTAAGGCTATTATTGAGGTAACAGTTAGTTGGATATAAGCATTGCCACACCTTGGCATGTGCATGCAGAACAGTATACGGTTAAAACATGAGTTGCTTATTTTTGGAATTTTCCAGTTAATACTTTCAGCCTGCCGTTACCACAGGTAACTGAAACTGTAGAAGGCCAAGCTGTGGGTAAGGGGAGACTGTTGTCCAGATTAGAGAATGTGGAAGATTAGTAATTAATTGAAATAGTGTTAGCAAAGGGTGATACGTTCAATAACTTACAAAATTGGGCCCCTGAGTAGAACCAAAATAGAAAGGATTAAGAAGTACTTTGGAGGGTACAAAACTGTCAAATTCAGAGTAACTCTTTGAGTTTAAATTGCCTTTGTAATGTCTACATAAAATGTCCTAGTAGGCATAGAACTCTGAGGACAGATATCTGTACTCAAGTTGTATATTTTGAGTCATTAGCATATGGTAAAATCATGTGAGTTGGGAAGAAGAATGAGAGAGCCTTAGAAACCCACTGTTTGAGTCAAAGGAAGAGGAGCCTCCACACAGTGAAAAGGAGCTGAGGAGGCTGGGGTGGCGCGATGTTACAGCCGTTGCCTGCACATGTGAGGCCTGGAGTTCAGTGCCAGTACTGCCAAAACCAAGCAGCTGAGGGTTGATAAGGGTCCAGTAGCATCACAGGAGTAATATGAGTGGAAGCTTTGTTTAGAGAAGTGAGTAGAAATGCCTAGTGTAGACCATGTATTTACTGTGCTTGTCAGTGTCGGTAAACAGAAGGGAGGTGGATCAAAGAGGCTTGAACATGTTTATGTTATGCACATGTTAAAAGAGCTAACATGAAGCCGGAGAAGCTATTACTGGGATAAGTAGTGTGAAAACTGTAATTTTGCTAACAATACAGTTACTTTTGTTGAAATCAGAGGAATTAAAGTACTTGATCCTTAACAAGAAAACAAAGATGAAATAATCTGTACAAGAAAAGAGAAGCAAAGCCGTTCTTTGACTGGCTAAAGTCTCTGCCAGTCCCTTGCAGTTCTGTCAGAAACCAGTAGTTGACTCTTCCATCAGCTAGCTGTACACAGATACGAAAACCTTTTTGTCATTATTTGGTTTTGATAATAGCTTCCTAAAAAGCTTCCTACCAATGCTTCTTTATGAAAGAAAAATGAATGAGCAAGCCTGTTCCAAGTGAGACTTTGATCTCTGTCTTTGCAGACTTTCAAGAAGAAGCCAGAGCACTTCCCCTTCTTCTTTAAGTGCATTCTGAGAGCAGCACTAGCAGAGACCGACGGTGACTTCTCTCTCCATGAGCAGACAGTGCTGCTGCTCTTTCTGGATCACTGCTTCAACAGCTTGGTAATCAACTTTATGCTAGGGAGCCTGTAGGTTTTCCTGTCTTTTGATTGAGTTTAGATGAGGTCTCCTTTAGGCCTCCTCTTCCCCCGGAGTCAAGGGAAACACAATGACCCTGAAAGCTCCATTTCAGCCATTTCACAGTAATGCTGTTTTGGAAGATTTGCTCATTTTTTAATGTTTTTGGACTTGATCCTTTCTGTTTTTCTGTTTGGGCTCTAAGAAGAGGGAGAGACCAGAGGGACAACACAGAAATTAGAAGCAGCAGGAGCCCCCTAACACACACTTGGTAGTGGTCTGTGTCGCAGGCCATGCGCTGACCTGTGTTTCAGACTTCCTCAGGCTCCCTGCCAGCCTGGCTCGTCAGCAAGGGGCACTGGAGTGAGTGACGGACTTAGGAGGTGTACATGAGATTTGAAAATGCCTTCTGTGTGATAATCATCCTTCATAAAAGTATCTTCCAAGAAATCAAATCTTCCAAGAAATCAAATCTTTTCAGTAATTGATATTTCATTTGAGTTTCCCTAGTGTGGTTATCTGAAGGGATATGCATATTTATTTATAAATAAATATATGGATAATGTCCTTACTTGGAGGAAAATGCATGAACCTCATGCTAACCTTAAACAGTGTTGAATATCGCTTGATGAGTTGTTTTGTCTGTTTCTGTGTACTGCCTCACTTGTATCTTTAAAGGCATAAAAAAGATTTATGATACCCCCAGTAGGCACTTCTGTTACCCTTTAGCATTTATTAAATTAAACACTGCAAAAAAAAATAAGTAAATATAATTCCTTATCAGAAAAGCAGATTTAATTAGTATGAGTAGTTTGGTGCTAGGTTTAAACAACTTAAACTCTAGTGTATTATGGAAATGCTTTTGTCTTTTCCAGTATGCTTTCATTTCTTATTTGGACAGGTGTGCCTGTTCTCTAAAGTAGCTGTGAACACAGAATAAGCCAATATTAAGCCATGTGTAGGAAGTACACGGTTAAGTTCCTGCAAGTTTCTCGTCACTTTGTTTTTGTGGTGCGGAGGATCGAATTGAACCTAGGTCCTCAAACGTGCTAGCCAAGGGCTCCACCACTAGGCCTCATCCCTAGCTTTGGTTACTGTATTTTTATCAAACCTTTAATGCATCACTGTTCTCTTTTCTTTCTTGATTTAATTAATTTATTAATTGGCAGTCTTGAGGTTTGAACTCAAGGCCTTGTGCTTGCTAGGCAGTCATTCTACCACTTGAGCCACTCCTTTAGCTTCTTTTTTTGTGACATGTTATGACTCTGTAGCTCAGGTTGACCTTGAATTTTTGTTCCTCTTGCCTCCGTCTCTCCAATGCTCGGATTAGAGGTTTGTGTCACCATGCTTGGCTCATCACCTTATTTTATGTGTTTCAGTTTTAACAATATCTTACTCGGTGCAATATTGTTGAACTCACTGTCAACAACACTAGCTTAGTCCTGCATGAACCATACCTCTCACACATACTTTCTTTGTAAGACACACCCCCCATAGCCGTATTACACCCACAAATATTGGATAGCACTTGAGCCTTGTTCTCAAAGCCCACTTTAAACAGTGCCATCACCAGCACAAAATACAAAATGAACAAAAGTAGTGTTAACTAGGCACAGAAAGTTCCCTTGTTTGAAGAATGAGAGTTGAAACTGAAGCAGAGCTCAAGCTTCACTGGGAGCAGGGACAGTAGGCAGCTCACAAGTTCTGCCACTCTGCCATCGTGAAGGAGTGTTGCTTTGGCTTACAGATTTTTGTGAGTAGGTGAATTTGAGAATATGAAATCTGAGAATGTGAAAACCATTTTTTTAAGTATGAAACTTTTTAATAGTAAAATGTCACCAATTTGAAAGTAGTGGTGGCATGTTTTCCTCCCTGACTTCAAAGGGCAGTACACTACCTAATAAAGATTGAAGGTGGGAATGCTGGAATGTGCACACATTTGTCTTCTTTATGCCTTAAACAGGAAGTAGACTTGATCCGAAGTCAGGTCCAGCAGCTTATCTCGCTCCCCATGTGGATGGGCTTGCAGCCTGTAAGTACCCATTTCAGAATTCTCTGTGCTTTCAGACTGTGTAGCTTTAATACAGATATAACAGTGTCAGCAAAAAACCCCGTCCATCGCTGCTTAGAAAAGTCACTGTGCAGTAACTCAGGGTGCATGTAGGTTTTCTGTGCATCCTATTATGTGTTTTGTGTAAACTTGGTATGATAAGGTGAAAAAAGTCATATTTACTGAACTTGTAGAGAAACATGGAAATGTGTGTTTATCCTGGTGCCTGGCGCTGGAGGAGGCTAAGTGCAGCCTTGACTTTTTTCCCTGAGTAGATTGTACGTACAGCTCAGGAATGTGTGGTTGTGTTTAATGGCACCCACTTCCATTGTTTTCATCAAATACTTACTGGCCAGTGTCCACGTGCCCAGTTACGTGCAGTATGGAGGGAAGTTAAAGCTGTCAAATGCTTGGAATTCTGTTTCCTGCACACACCCAAATCGGCAGACTCGTTCACTGGTACCCATTGATGGTAGTGCTTAAAAGTACGTTTAAAAGTGGTGAGCACCATCAGAGAGAATATGCAGATGTGGGTCGCATTCCTTATGGACTGGCTTGTGTTTTGTTTTGTTTATAAGACAGGGTCTCACTCTGTAGCTCAGGTCAGCCTGAAACTTGTAATCCTCCTGCCTCACCCTCCCAAGTTCTGGAATTACAGGCATACACCACTACACCCAACTTTATTTACTTTTGATAGTTGTTTTACACTCCTTGTTTGAGATTCATATGTTTCAAATTTCAGTGATTATGCTGATAAGTGTTCATGTTTATATTTTTCAGAGAGAAAAATTTAGTTGATTTTTGAGCTTACAACTCTGATTAGGAGAGACTATTTCTTCTGTCTTATTTTTTATTAACAAGTATTAGAGTTGACTAACTTTTAAAAATATTATTTATTTCTTAGTTTTCAAGGCTTGTCTTGGTGCACTCAGGTCTTATCACATTCGTCATTACTGTGTTGATCACTGTGAATGTTGAATTACTGGTGATGTGGCATCACATCTCTCTTTCAGGCACGGCTGGAATTAGAATTAAAAAAGACACCAAAGCTGAGGAAGTTCTGGAACCTGATTAGGAAGAATGATGAGAAGATGGACCCAGACGCCAGAGAGCAGTACGGTGGCAAAGCCGCATCCCTTGCCAGCTTCAATTAGTAGCAAGCGCTTTTACTTAGACTCTTGTAGGAATATTTATTTTACAAAGGTCGTTCTCTGTGCAGGGACAAGTGCCACTGTCCCCTTGTTCTCCATGCAGGGATAAGTCCCCCCCCGCCCCTTGCTGTTGCCCCTGGTCTGACCCTTATGGATTTCTCCACAGTCTTCCATCAGTCCTACTTTTTCTTCTTCACTCTCTCTCTTTTTTTTTTTCCTAGTGCTTTTTATGGCATTGTTGATTGTACAAGGGCCTTGCACACACTAAGCAACTCCACCCTGAGCTGCATCCCCAACCCTTCCCCTCTTACCAGTGATTTCTACATTGTCAGCCTTCATTCATTTATTCAGCAAGTACTGAGTGGTCATTATTTTGCCAGGTAGTATTCTTGGCATTGGGGACACAGGAGAGAATGAACAGAAAGTTATTCCTGCTTTGTGTAGCTTATATTCTAGTTGGGAAAGATAGCAGTGAACAGGTGAAGTTTGTCAGATGGTGATTCATACCAACGAAAAGTAGAAATCAAGTACAAGGATTAAAGAAAAAGTGAGAGTGACTGATGGCCACCAATCTAAGCTCAGAATTCTCAGACCTGAATCTTACAACACACATCCTTTCTTTCCTTCATCTTCCATCAGTTTTAGATGTGATCAAAGCTTTTTTTTAAATTGATTATTTCTACCAAGTTTAATGTCTTCATCAATAAGAAGTGTACTGAGTGCAATTTATTTCATAGGTTATTTCCAATAGTAATGTTTGTTATCAATAGAATAGGAGTTGAATAGCGTTTATTGGAACACTGAGCTGTTGGGACACAGATAGGACCTGGGTGCCCTCAGACATGGGTTTCCCTCATCTCTGAGGCCAACTGGCCTGGGCTTTAGCTGCACTAACTACAGCAGTGGGCTGGCATTCTCTGTCTTAGATTGCTGTCTTCCATTAACATTTTCTCTTCATTTTATGCATGTAATGCACTCATGCACTCATTCAGGACTGACTTTGAGCCTTTGGTAACTTTTTAAACTCTGTATTATTTTTTCTTCTACTTAGGAAAAGAGCTTACACTTATTGTTCCTTTACTTGAATTTTGGTTCCCACTTTCCACTCCCACCTGCACTGTTCTTTTTGACATCTCCTCTCATTTGCACTGTGTGGGGTCTTTGCATAGTGTCATTTCAGCTGACCTTCCTTGGATCCTGTGGACTGTGCTCTGTTTCTTATACATCCCTCCGCTTTAGTTACTACAACCTTTCCAGCTTGCTCTCCTTTTGGATTTTTTTCCTCTGTGTCTTCCTGGCTCCCACGTCCAAGGCACTGCCACCTCGGGGCTTTATTTACTGTCCTTCAGTCATCCCCACTGCCCTAGGGGTTTATGAGACCACTGTTTGGGAAAGATGGGAGCCTTCTCCCCAAAGACACAAATCCATGTATTTGACAGAATTCTAATTTGGAGCTACTGCCTTCTGTCTAATAAACCATTTTCTCTGACCACTTTGCAAGTAAGAAATTAGAATTTTATACTCTGTGTTACAGAGGAGGCAGAAAAGTATTTTAGTAATAGAATGATATAATCAGACTTCAATTTTGCAGCAGTCTTGCTGCAGGCTTTGAGGCAGGGATGGAAGGTAGTTGTGATACCTGTAGTCAGAACTTGAACTAGCGGTGGAATTGGAGGCAAAGGAGACACAGAACGGAGAGCTGTTGACGTGTCAGTTCCCACAGTGGGGAGTGTAAGGGGCAGAGTGGCCTGGCAGAGAGAGGACTTGAGCTCTACCAGGCCCAATGTAGAAAGCCAGCTGGAGGTCATGGTTGGGAGAAGTAAGTTAATGCTGCATTTCTAGGCTACTGCAGTGTGTGGGCCAAGGGCAGAGGGCTGAGGACAAAGACAGTGAGACCTGGGGTGATGCTGCTGGTAGTTTCTGAGGAGCAGGAGCTGAAAAGCACAGAGCAGAGCAGTGGGTCTCAGAGTGAGGATATGAGAACTGTTAGGGTCAAAGTCAGAATATCTCTGGGGTTTCTTTTTTTTTTTTTTTTTTTTTGGTGGGGAGAGGGTGTTAACTATTATCAAGACTCAGACTCATGCTTGAACTGAACCTCTTTTTTTTGCTTCAGTTACCTTTCTGGTACAGTTTCTGCATGGCTGGCCTGTGACAGAGATCCTGCCTATGCCTCCATTGTAGCTGGGGTTATAACTGTGTACCACCATACCTGGCTTGTTGATTGGCCCATTGGTGTTCTAATTCAGGTCTTAGCAGCCTTTTGACTGAGCCACTACAATAAAGTCCTCTTTGGCCTTTCTTCCATCTTTCCCACAGTCGTGCAGTTTAAGTAGCCTTTTTCATAGAGGATTGTGTTTACTGTGCCATGTTCCTTCCCACAAGTCCCTGCTGGTTTCCTGTTCTTGGGGATAAGCTCTGAATGGCTTTCCAAAGCCTCCAGCTATTTCTCATGATCTCCAGGTTTCTGGATTAGTCCAGTTCTTTCTTCAGTGTCCTCTCTGTTCCTTTCCCCTCCACTTAGTTGAGTATTAGCCATCTAAACACTTTTCTAGACCACAGGGCTTTCTTCTGAACTCCTGAAACATACCAGCTCTGTGTAGTGGTTGGAATATGTATCATTGTTCAGATGTAACTTGGTCCCATACAAGTGCTGTGTGACTGGCAGCTTACCCCCACTCTCTGAACTTGAGTGTGATGTCTGAGCCAGGTGCCTGTGTCATAGGACTGACCTTGGCATCAGGTGACATCAGTCGTGAGACCACTCATGAGAAGTGCCCAGCACAACTCACACCCTGGCAGAGCACTGCTGTTACTGGCAGGCAGTTTTGCTCACTCCCCACCGTCCTGTGTACTCATCATGTACACTGACATATCACTTCTCGGAAGCTCTAATTGCTCCCCTCTCTTACATTTCCAACAGAACTGATGTAGTCATTTGCAGCTGTCTGATACCTGATAAATGTTTGTTGATTAATTGGTTAAATTAGTAATGAGTAGAAAACTGATTTTTAAACTAACATTTGATTTTAGCCATTGTAATACTATTGTATTTCGTACTTCAAACACATTCAAGAATAAAATTGCTCCTCACAATTTAACTTCATTGAACATTAGATTTTTAATGTCAGTGGCAGAGTATAAATGAAATTTGAAGTGCCCTTTGCAGTCCTGACTGTGAAGATAAGTGAGACTTCACAGTGAGGCTCTACCTGTCTTCATGTAGCACTGCATTTACAAAGAAAATGCAGTGTGTCAGACAGAAATTGAACATTTGAACAGTGTAAGAAAGGCTTGCTCAGCACTTAAAATCTACTTTGAAATCACGCTTTTCATAAATAACTTTGAATGTTCTTTGATTGTAGGGCCTACCAAGAAAGGAGGTTTCTTTCACAGCTCATCCAGAAGTTCATCTCTGTGCTGAAATCAGTGCCACTATCTGGTAATTCTTCTTGGCCCATTGGAACGTGTCTCGTACATGCTTCTAGGGTGTGCTTCTCTCTGGTCTAAAAGCTGCTCTTAGGATGACTTAAGTTGTGAGGCCACAGTGTGTGTCCTTTCTGATTCCGATAGATTGCCAGTTTGAGCACTAGGACTGCCTTGAAGGGTTATTTTAAAGGCACCAGGGTGGTCATTGAAATGTTGATTTAGTTAGCAGACTTTTGTTGTATTTTTGAGATTTTTAAGCTACAAGATGAAATGGGTCAAGTTCCATTATGACCCCCATTTATTGATGAAACTAATGTAAATACATAGTATGGATAGATGCAGACTAAAGTAGAGTGCACTAGAAGCATGCTGTGCACACATGCACACCTATGGGGTGCATATGTCTAAATACACTGGGTTGTAAGATCTTTTAAGCATTTAATGAATGCATATGGAATGGTGTTTACTTAAAGCATAATCCTGTATGTGATGTCATCATTTAATAATGTTTTATAAGTAGAATATAAACTTGAAGCAGCTTTATAATTGTATCATTTATATTTTTGCATCAGAAATTACAGCTTTGTCTAAAATACAATAAAATTATTTATTAATGCTGACCCTCCAAGTAATGTTTGACAACTGAAGATCCATTGCTAAAATCTAGTGAAATTCAGCTCTGCCTGATTGGAAGCATAACACTCCTTCTAGTTTCAGTATAAGGAAAAAATTGTCAGATGTTTGTTTATAATCCAAGTCATTTAAGTCTTTTTTGTTAAGTGTCTTAAACCTGAAAAGAAGTCTTAACATTTTTTTTGCAGGGGGGAGGGAGGGGTTGTGTGTGAGCAGTATTGGGGTTTGAACTCAGGGCCTCACACTTGATGGGCAGACGCTCTACCACTTGAGCCACTCTGCCAGTCCTTTTTTGTGTTGGGTATTTTTGATGTAGGGTCTCGTAAACTATTTGCCCAGTCTGGCTTAAAACTGCAGTCCTCCTGATTTCTGCCTCCTGAGTAGAAGTTTTTTTTGACCCAAACAGTTACAATGAATGCTTTGAACTACTGGTGTCTGTAACAATCCGAGTGATAAATATTGATGTGTCTAACTATGAAAGTTTATTTAGGGTCATCTAGGAATTTTAACAGCCTGTAAACCATTAGGTGTGGCCACTACTTTTAATATCAAGAAAACAAGATATCTTAGATTAGTCTTGAACATTAATTAAAATTTGACTTGTTGGGAAAGGAACCAAAAAGATGTCAAAGATACTGTACAAATATGAAGATGGATGAGCTAGTTAGAAGGAACTCATCTTCAAAAGAAGGAGAAGCATTGTATTTTCATTTTATAGAGCTATAACGATAACGAAAACACCCACATTAGTTGTTACGTAGGAAATTTGTGTAGGGTGGTGGGAGGTGTCAGGACCGCTGTCAGAAGAGTCTGTCTGAGGGAGAAATGGTAAGGACGTGTTTGTGTCCGAAATTGGAACTACATGGCTTCTATGCCGAGGCACCTCTGTCCACCAGAGTACACAGCTGCACATCAAGCTTTGTTTAATTTTAACTAGGCCATTGCTATCAGTTTTTTTCAAATTGTAAATAGAGATACAGAATACAGAGCTTACTTGGTTTTGTAGTTTTGGACATTTACAAGGATGGAAGATAATAACTGTTGGCTATTTTGAATGGGTTTAATTTAAACATTGTTCTTAAAATTTTTAAACAACTGTATGGCCTAAGCCAAGATCAGAAAACTGAGGTCCAGTTCTCCACCTTCATCAGGTCCTATTGTGTCCTCAGTTTCACATTTGGAAAATGGTACCAAAAATAAACCCCTAAGGTCTTTTCCAGTTATTCACTTCTATGTTTCTATTCTTTCAGGGTCTGCATTATAGGGGTTTGTTAACTAGAAAAGTTCCAGGGCAAATTCCAGCTAGCAGATCCATATATTACTCAGAACAGTATTATTATTTCTTTCTTCACCTAAAGCCCTTCATTTTTCTAGATACCACAAATAAATACAGTTTATAAAAGCACTTATGGGGTGCCTTTTACAGGTCTGGCACTGGCTTACTCACTGCCGGAAGTCCTTAGACCAAATAGTAACAGAGACCCCAACATGTTCTCCATTTTTGATTGGAACAACCTTGGCAGAGTGGGGTTGGCTGTGAGTAGTGGAGCACGGGCCTGCGGGGGTCTCAGCAGCCTGTGAACCGTTACCTGTGACTACCGGTGGAATATGTTGTGAGAAAACAAAGTCTCTTAGATAGTTCTAATCACTGATCACAGTTTGTTAACTAGTTGACAATGAGCCCAACAAGGTGTTGGTTCAAAATATGAAGGGAAAGAAGTTATATAAGACTCTAGTTATTTAAAAACAAAAAAAAGTTTGTAGAAGCCGTGCATTATGCCCACAAATAATGTGATTGTGATGTAAAAATGTTGAGCTGCTGTGTGTGTCATTGGCATGTTACTGCCAAAAGTAAGACACTGTTCTCGAGAGCCACTGTAATAAATCCCCCTTTAAAATATTAAAGAGGAAAAATAATACATGGACAGTGGTAAAAAATAGTATGAATTACTCTGATTCTCTTGGTGTGTGTTTATCATGTGTTTTCTTTCTTTTTTTTTTATGTACTTTTATTGTGGCAGCACTGGGGTTTGAACTCAGGGCCTCACACTTGCTAGGCAGGCACTCTTATGGCTTGAGCCACTCTCCCATCTTTTCTAAGGGTAGATACAGATATCAGATACACACCTGTGCATACATACATATATGTGTGTGTCTGTGTACTTATAGAAGCAAAGTGAAGCAAAATCTGATGTAAAACTAGCTTCTGGTTTTTATAGCTCCAAATTTTTCAAAATCTAATCGTTAAGTATAGATTTTTAAAAGGTAGCACTTTAAAAATACCTTTGTACACCAAAGTTTTAAAGTCCACTTTGACCCAAGCTGGTTTTCATTTCTCATATTTGTAAAGCTAAACATGAGGGTGTGACCCACCTTTTGCAAAATACTCGTGAGATTCCTAGTCTGGTTGTGATGAGTAAGAGACAAATGGTTTTGCTTAAGTTATCAAGTAACTGCCAGTTTTAAGAAATAGCACACAAAGTGTCTAACATGATTCTCTCTGTCTAGATCCGGTCACTATGGACAAGGTTCATTACTGTGAAAGATTCATTGAACTTATGATTGATCTAGAGGTAAGAAATTTCTGCAGTGACCTCTGACATAACCCATAAGAATCTAAGGCTGGACCTGTGACTGCACTTGGAATGTTTCCTTCCACCTCCGCCGGCCTGAGTTTATACCTGTTCCAAGTGCTATGTACACAAGCAAATCACAGGTGTTCATCCCCTGAGGTTTCACATGGGCTGCTGTGTATTGTCAGTTTTTAAAATTAAGATATTTAAAGGAGATTTCATACTGTTAGGTGCAGGATTTTGATAAGAAGTTCAAATAAAGACTTAATGTAGTTTAGCTTGAATCCATTTCCTTTTCTTTCCCTGTTACGTGGGAGATGGACAGGAACTCTGCAAGTTTCTCATTTTGAGGTGGCATTTATTCATGAGTTCTCCATTCATATTCTGGCTCTGCCAGTAACTAATTTATGACCTCCCAATAGGTTGGTTCTATTAAATGAGAATATTTGATGAGATATGAGTAGTGTTCAGAATATCACAGCCTCAGTTTCTCATTATCTTTCTGGCTGTCATAGGAGGACATGGGGACAGGAAATGGAGAAGAACTCTCCCTTTTAGGGGACCTTCTTCCTTCTCTTTTAGAGCCTCTCCACTTTTAAACCTGAACATAGTGCATCCTGGGGTTTCATGTAGGCTTTTTTTGAGTCCTGCTAGCTGAGATGGTCTGAGATTCCTTCCTGTACCTTTATCTTTCAGTTCTGCTACTCTTGGTTTTAAAGCTAAAAGCCTTGCCACTGGGTTTATTTATAGCATGGACCAGGCCTGTTGCCTTGTGTGCAGAATGTCTTTGGGGAAGCCAGAAGGTGCTTTGTGGTGTTCAGCTGCAGAGACCACACCTGTGACTGTTGTGTGTATCTTCCCTAGGCCCTGCTCCCCACGAGGCGCTGGTTTAACACCATCCTGGATGACTCTCACCTTCTGGTTCACTGTTACCTTTCCAGTCTTGTCCACAGGGAAGAAGATGGCCATCTTTTTTCCCAGGTGAGCACTGGCACCTGGTACTTTTGTTTCATTTCCAAGTTGATATTTTCCATTCATTATGCACCTGGAAGGAGCACCAGGGCAGGATTTGAAGTAAAGTTTTTGAATATTATTGAATTTTAAAGTAAAATCTGCATGCCTAAAGTGCATGTGTTCCTGGGTGCACCTATGCAAGCTAGCAATTGTATGTAATAACCTTATGTTGTGGTTTTATCATTAGATTAAATTGTGATATGTCTTTCATGTTGATATATTTCAATTCCATGAAATGTAATGGAAATAATTCGCCTTTTTTTTTTTTTGGTGGTACTAGGGTACAGGACCGTACAGAGCCTACCACTTAAGCCACACCTCCAACTTTTTTTGCTTTAATTATTTTTCAGATAGGGTCTTATGCTTTTTGCCTGGGTCTGGCCTTGTACTATAATCCTCCTACCTTCCCCTCCCAGGTATCTGGGATTAAAGTCTTGACCTTATAATTCTTGGTTTTCAGTGAGAGCTTAATCAGAGATGAAGTTTTGTGTGTTATTATTCATTTATCTGTGTTTGTAAAACAATCCTTTTCTTCCTCATTTTCTATAGATTTTTATCCAGTGATTTGCCGTATTAAAAACTTAACAGTATCTCATTGACCCAATTAAGATCTGATTGATGTGTAATCCACCAGAGGTTAGAACTGAAAATAATGGAGGTTTGGAATGAATACAGCCAGTAGGCTGTGTTGGTGCTGCTCCCACAGTGGGAACTCAGGGCTTTGTTAGCCTCAGGAGCGGAGCTAACGAGAGGTCATCTGGCCTGGGGACTGTGAGAGGAGTGAGTGAGCTTCTTTCCCTAACTGAATAGTGCATAGGAAAGAACATTTATGGTTACAGAACCCTCATTTAGTAAAGTCTACCTACGTGAACTGTAGAGGTCCCTCTAGTGGTGTGGTTTCGTAGTGTTGTTGGGTTTTTTTTGTTTTTTTTTTCATTAAAATATTGGGCTTCCTTGGATTATCTCCTTAATGTCTCACAAGCACTGGGATGGCAGTTTAAATTTTCTTTGTAGAAGTAGATTGTGTATATAAAATTGACTTAACACTTTATTCATGAGGTGCATGCTTTATTTTCACATAAACTAAACATGTTTGGGTGTGTTCTGAAGTACTCGTGCAATGCTGCTTTCCAGACTTTCTTAGCACCTCTAAGACAGTGCATGAACTTATTTTTCTAAATAGAGTTAGGCCCTCTTGGTATTGTGTTCGCACAGTTTAGTAACTTAAACCCGTTTTTCAGCTTTTAGACATGCTTAAGTTCTACACTGGCTTTGAAATTAATGACCAGACTGGAAATGCACTGACAGAGAACGAGATGACCACTATTCACTATGACAGGATCACTTCTCTGCAGGTAACCAGCATGCACATGGCTGTTCTTAAGCTCCATGAGGCTGTATGATACTATACTTCAGTTTTGTATAAATGCACATAGGAAAAGGTATTAATTTAATACTGTTTTCATTTTCAATTTCTTAAATGTTTCTAATTCTGATTAATTCATGAGAAGAATGACTTTCATAGTATCCTATAAATCAGTATACAAATATCAGCCCTGCTGTTTTATTTTAATAATCTTCACTATATGGCAAGGTGTCATAAGCACTTTGCACATTTTTAAGATAAATATACACAGCAGGATTGAAACTACCCAGTATAGTTCAAAATGGCCACAAAAGTACCCTTGTCTTCTTAATTCATCTCATTGCTCCTGTGCTCCTTTTCCTCTGGTGGCAGAGGGGAACTTTTATTTGTCAATCTAAAGTAGGTGTGTCATTTTGCTGTAGAGTCTTTCTGGGGGCGTAGACTTAGTCAAAGTCAGTTCAAACTCTTTCGTAGTCACTTCTGCCCTGTTGAGTTTCTGATCTCCCTCTTACTTCCCCAGGTGGCCCTTGGGGTACACATTTGATAGTCATATTGTTTTGGAGGAGGAGTGAGCTCAGACATCTTTTCCTGCTTTTCTCAGAGCACTAGTGTTTTGTTTTGCCTCTGCTCTGAAGTGACCCTAGCTGCTGTGCACGGTCTGGCCCATTGGCACAGGCCAGGTGTGATTTTTGGTCCCCAGAAGCCAAGTCACCACAGTGCTGCTAGTGCTATCTTCTCGCAGCCTACTTCATGGTGCTGAAGTGTCACCTGGCCAGCCTTCTCTTCCCAGACTTCCAAACAAAAGCAGGCCATGGGCACATTGCATTGTGGAGTCCTTCCTCGGATTATTTCCCTTAGAATTTCCTTTTAGTCTTTTTAGGCCAGTTCTGAATAATAAAATGTTTGTTTTTTCCTTCCTCACATCAATGAACCTAGCGTTCATTTCTGTTTTCATGTGTATTCTGAATCACTTTTAGAAATAAACTGAACAGTGACTCTTTTCGCTTTCCTGATAGAACAGTTCTTGTTTTTCCCATTGTCTTACGTGCTTTTGTCTGAATAAGGCAGAGGTCACGGAGAAGGCACATGTAAAAAGAGGTAATGCAGGAATATTTTTATGGAACCTTTCCTCCAAATAGCATGTAAACTGAGATGACTTTGTGGTATATGGATGGTGCTTACTGACATTTCTCCTGTTCCTTTCCAGAGAGCTGCTTTTGCACATTTCCCTGAGCTCTATGATTTTGCCCTCTCAAATGTGGCAGAGGTGGATACTCGGGAGTCCTTGGTCAAGTGTTTTGGACCTCTTAGGTAGGCAGCACAACTTCAAGGAGGCCTTCTAGTACCATGCTGCTTGAGTTTTACTTTTGTTCATTTCCTACTTTAGGTACTTGTTATATTACTGTTTGTGGACGTCTAGAACTGCTGCTTATCTAGTGCATTTTGGTATCTTTAAGTTACTTAAATATTATTATTTATCTTTTTCTTTTTGAGGGAGGGGTAAAATGTTCATTTTTCATGACTTACGTATTTTCCCAGAGCATGCATCTTTCCTAGACTGGAGCGTTGACTAGTCAGAACCACAAGTAACAGAAGCTGGTAAAGTTTCTTCCTGCGTGACATTATAGGCAAGGCACAGGAGAATTTTTGTGTGGTTAAGATATATAGAACTAGAAATCTTCTTTGGCCCTTAGTTATCTACTAAAATACTTTTTGGAAAGTAGTAATAGCCTGTTTATTTACTATGTAAACTGTGTCGTGTACTTAAAATAACCATTGATATTTACACAACTGCCGAGAGCTCTTGTTAAGTGGTACTACCACACTGTGTTTTAATTGCTGTCCTGTTGATGGATCTTTAATTTTCAATTTTTTGGCTATTAACAAGCATCTGTGCAGTCAGCTCACTGTGGCTGTTGAGATAAGTCAACTTAAAGAGGACAGGTTTGTTTTGGCCCACAGTTCTAGAGACTTCATTCAGCACAGGGTTGCTTGGTCCACTTGCATTGGGCCCATGAGGTGGCAAGACATCACAAAAGGAGTTCTGGCAAAGAAGATGCTCACCTCACAGCAGGTGGGAAGCTGAGAGCATCTGTGGGAAATGGAGTGTTTTTCTTGGTCATCTGAATTCCTTCTGTAAACTTGCCTGTTGCTGTTCTTTGCTCTTTTGTATTCTGTTGCTTGTTTTCCTGATTAGAATGCATTAATGGTGCAAGGGAGTTTCATTGTGATAATTCTGCAGACACGTACAGTGTACATATTTGTTTAGTAGATGTGCTACAGCAACCAAATGGAGAAAGGATAATTTTCAACAGTGGTGCTGGAACAGCGGGACAGGCACACGCACAGGTTAACTCAGAGTGAACTGCAGATTGCTGTGTCCACACTAAAACTTACATGGGAGTCTTTGTGATTGTGGTTTGTACCAATAGTTCTGTAGACACCATAGCACGATGGAGAAATAGATACGCTTTTTGATGTTTAATAACATTTTAAAATGTCAGCTCTGTGAAAGACATAGTTAAGAGAATGAAGAGTCAAGACCCAAATTGGGAGAAAACATGGGTGAAAGAAAGCATGTGTCTGCTGAAGAGCTACTACCAAAAGCCTCAGAGCACAATAGCAAGAAAGTAACTCAATAAAGAAATGGCAGGAGAGGAGAAATGTCTGTGCGAGCCCACAGAAGGATGCTTAGCATCTTTAGTTATTTGGGAAATAAGTTTAAATTGTATGATATACCACTCCTTCCTGTCAGAATTGTTTAAAAAAGAAAAGCAGAAAACTTTAACTGTTGTCAAAGGTGGGGAGCACTGGACTTCTCGATGCTGGTGGGAACTGAAAATGGGATACCCACTTTGGAAATTTAACCGTGCTAACTTATATGATCGAGCATTTCCCATTGAAAGATACACCCAGCCTGGCACAGGGGTGCATGCCTATAATCCCAGCACTCAGGAGGCTGAGGCAGGGGGATTGTTAGTTCAAGACCAGCCTGTACTACAAAGCAAAACCCCCATCTCAAGAAAGAAATAAAATGAAATAAGTAAAGGTATATTCAGGAGAAATGAAACGTTCACACAAAAATCTACAAAACCATATACCATGGCCTTATTTGAATAATTGTCAAAAGCTAGAATCCATCAATGTCTTCACCTGGTAAGTGAATAACCACGAGTACATCCATGTAGTGGAGTGCTGCTGAGCAACGTGAAGGAGCCAGTTAGGGACCTGCACCACAGTGCACAATTCCACATGCACTGCACAGCCAGCACCACAAGGCCGCCAGGTGTGTTAAACCAGTTAGCTGACTTGAAAATAGGTTAGCAGTTGTCGGGGTTGCAGTGCAGAGGGGGTTTGATACAGCAAGTGACATGAGAGGATTTGGGGGATTGTTGGGACAGTTTGAATGCAGGTTTCCATTCATAGTTGAAAATGTCACTGGCAGTGAGTTCTACTAGTTGTTTTCCTTTAAGTTACAGGCGTACTTCATTCAAATTTGAAAAAAATCACTATTTATCCAACACCAAATAAGCACAGTCCCTCAGTTCTTTCACAGAAAAATTGTGGACTTCCTGTGTTGTGATAGACTTTTTTTTAAATGGCTTTTTAAGAATCCAAACTTAATTGCAGTGATATTTTTTCACTTCAGTTGCCATAAAGTTTGTAGAAAATCCTGCACTCACGGTTTATTTTTCACTGCTGTCTTTTTGTATTTGCTGCCTGTGGAAGTAAGTATTTCAAAAGTGAAATTTCATCTCAGTATTCTTTATTCTGCAGTTCAAACACCCTCCACCAGGTGGCGTCATACCTCTGCTTATTGCCAACCCTTCCTAAAAATGAGGACACAACTTTTGATAAAGAATTTCTTCTAGAGTTACTGGTAAATATCAATGTGCTATAAATTTTTCACATGGGTTCCATACATTTTGAGCCATTCAGAAAGATGTAGGTTTGCTTTGCTTTCTTTTGGACTAAAGATTAGATAGTTTATTATCACCTGTTTGGAATTACCATTTGACTTCATCACATTTGTTTTTTCATCTCTTGAGTTTCTTCTCTTAAGTCTTTCATCTCTTAAAACTATTTTCTGTCAAGAATTCATTGTATTAACAAGCATTTGTGAGCCTTGGGTTAATCCATTGTGGTACAGGTTACACCATTCCTTTCTTTAATGAGGTTACACAAAAACAAAACAAAAAAAAAAAACAAACAAAAAAACAAAAACAAAAACACATAGTTGCATAAACATTCATCTGGGTTTACTTTTAAAGTAATCACTCACAGACAGTGCCATGGTTAGCAGGCTGTGACCTTTAGGAATAGAGAAGCTCATGGTGTTAGAGATATGGTGGGCTATCACTAAGTGCTTCAGAACTCTAAGGGCTTTCTCCATCATCTAAGCCCCATGTCAGGTTTTATAGTTTCATGGAAATCTTAGTTTTCTATGATGTTAAGAATAAAACATAATTCCATGTATTTGGAGCTCAAAAGTAGAGTTCTTATCCTCTTTGAACTCATGTTCTAGCCCCTGAGGTGAGCACTGCTGACTTTCATCTACATCCTTCCAGATGTTTTTAAATTTGTGATTTTTAATTACTTGAGTGAACTATATAATACTGAGTGCAATTTGTTGTAATGAAGAATATATAGTTAAAATTCACACTGGGGATGAGCTCAGGGGTACAACACTGGCCTGGCATCCCTGGGTTCGTCCCTAGCATTGGAGGAAAAGAAAACATAAATCATTCCAGAGTTTTCTTATTAAAAAACAGCTGCAAGTAATGTAGGAATCTAGTTTTGTGTGTGTGTGTGTGTGTGTGTGTGTTTAAACCACAGTTTGGATCATGTTTGGATCATGCTGTATTCTTGTGCAGTTTGCTTTTTTCTCACTTACATTGTTTTGGGGTTTAGCTCACTGTGTAGTGTAGATGTGCCTTGTTTGTGACTTTAGTACAATATTTCATGAATAGATGAGTGTTTAACCATACTCTAGCAATGTATATTTAAAAGGCTGCTGGCAGTTCCACTTTTACAATTAATGGTGCTCTCATTGTGTATGCCTCTGTGCCCATATGTGGACATGGAGGAGAAAAACCTGGAGCTGCCACATCATCCTCCACAGCATATATATTCTGTCAAGCAAGTTAAAGTCTTGTCTCCCTGAGCTCTTCCCACCACTGGGTGCTATCCCTTTCCCATTGTTACCAGTCTCTGATGGGTTAAAGAAAACGGTTTTAATTTTCTTTTTGCTCACTGTTATAAAATTGAGTAACTTTTCACATATTTAAGGCAGTTTTCATTTTTTTGTGCCTAAACAAGCATACTGTGTTGATGTGTATATATATTTTTCTTACATACTGGGAGCCATATTAGGTACACTGTTTTTGTGGTTTATTTCCCAAGCTGATGTTTTAACATAAGATGTAAAGCACAGTCGTGGCTGTAGGAGAGATGATGACCCACTAGTTTTGGGGGACAGAGATAAGAAACTATTTGTAACAGATGTTTAAAGTATAGTAGCAGGTGTTCAGATGCCATTAGGGGAGGAATCCTTGGGAAGCATTTTATATTAATTTGAGTTCGGAAAATACTTTTTCACTAACATGTTTACTCACGTAAAGATGTCTTAAGCTACTGTCTTTGTCTTTCTTCTGACAGATCACTTTTCACCATCTTAACTACATCTGCTTCCTAAAAGTTCCTTATGCTGCATTCTAACCATGTAAAATCTCCAGTGAGTCAGGTTATTGGGATTAATAATAAGTCTTTATTAATGAAAGAAAGAGGTTTTTCCAGAAATTGTTCTAATGGAAATAAGTTTGAGTAAGATATAGGTCCTGTGCCTTCCAGTGTCTTGTAACTAAAATTTTATCCTTAAAATTTAGTTATGCAAAAGATAAAGTTTTATAGCTTAACAGTGATAAAACATTGGCTTTTGTTTCTTCTTTTTCCTGAAGGAGTGCCTCATTTTTTGGATTCTCCTGGTAGCCAAAGTACAGCTAATGTGCTGAGATATACAGATTGCTTAAATGTCACAATATGGTTTTTCCCAAAATAATGCTATGTTTACTGAAGAAAATGTAATGTGTTTCAAATGTGTTGCTTTCTCATTGTAAGTTAGGTGACAAACTTACTTTTATATTGACATAGATTAATATCAAGAGTAATAGAGGTCATCACTGGCGGGAACTACAGATCACTCCACCTCCCATTCCGCAAGGGAGAATATTCCCAGATTGTGTAACCTGGTTAGTGAAAGAAGGAAAGCAAATCCAGGACTCAGGGCTTCAATTTTTTAAATTTTGCATTTCTTATACTCTTGGCATACGTCAGGGACTTTCACTCTATTTTACAGCATTCCATTTCATTTTGTAAGAAACCTGAGAGGTAGGTGTCATTCTGTCTTCTTTATTGAGAAGAAAACTCAGGTCAGCAAGGTCTAGTAAGTTGCCTGTTTTTATCTTACATTGCTCATAAGTAGAGGAGTGGGATTTGACCCAGGTCAGTTTGTTCTGAGGCCGTTCATACTGCTTTCATATCTGACTTACGGAGAAAATGGGGAAGGGGAAAATTTTGTTATAGTGCTACAAGGACTGAAAGACACAGGTTCTCATTCTGTACTTAATGGGTGGATTTCTCCATAAATTATTTTGAACAAAGGTACTTACTTTCTGACTGAACCTATTTCCTTTCTTTTAGGTTTCTCGCCATGAACGTCGAATTTCTCAGATTCAGCAGTTGAATCAGATGCCTTTGTATCCAACTGAGAAAATTATATGGGATGAAAATATTGTCCCAACTGAGTACTATTCTGGGGAAGGTATGGTTGGGAAAAAAAAAATAGAGAACTCAGGTGTAACCTGAAGCTTAATGTAGATCATCACGTATACTTGAAAATGTACCCCATTCTGTTCTATATGTTGGGATGTTTTTCTGGAAGTCTGAAGTTCAACTTCAGAAAATTGGAAAGATTTAGAAGTTTGAATTGTGTTAAATTAAACTATATGCTAGAATATATATCGCCCTGTATAAAATACATGTTTTTAAGGAGATTTAATCATGCAGGAGTATTGCTTTCATTGTGTCACTGTGAAGGCTGTTTGATAGAGCTTTACTATTGAAAGCCTCTTATAAAGGCTCTTGAATTCTTGTGAAGCCAAGTTATGACTGCCAACAAAAGACAATTCAGTAGTAGCTCATAAACTTAGTTTTGGTCCACAGTGATGTTGCCTGGTTTGTTCACCTACTATTTCACCAGATTGGTTCTGAGTGCTCTTCACTCATCCCCCGAGAATGAGAATTGGCACAACTGAGTTAATGCAGAAGGACGTTCTGTGTCTTTTGAAGGCCTCTTTTGGAAGACGCCATTTAACCAATTGCATCATTATTAAAGGAGATGTAACTGTTTTAATGACATTCCAAGTATACATGTTGGTTCATTTATTAAAAAGAAAAATTACTTCACTGTCCTATCATAGATGCATAACTAGTAAAACCAGCATACTAAAACTGTGCTAGATTCACAGCGGACAGTCTTCATACCTTTTTATGTTCTTACTGTGATTACTGCATTGATCTCAAATGCCTAGGGATGTTCCCTTCAGGGATAAATTCAAAAGTGATTCCCGTGAAAGTCAGGAAGAGTCACTTTCAGAGGGAAGGAAGAAGTTGTAGCTAGGAGAGGGCAGATGGGAGGGTCTGGGCCAGCTGACAAGGAGACCACAAGGCTTCACTTTTAAAATGCCCTTCATGTTGCTGGTGTATTTTCCCATGTGTCCTCTTCTCCCCTCTGCTGAAGAGTCTGGGTGCTGGATCTTTAGCTTCCCCATCTAGATTTTTCAGGTTGAATATTCTGGGCCCAGAACGTGCTCTGCTGTTCCCTTGCCTTACAACTCCGCACCTGGGTGCAAGAGTTCATGAGGCAGGGTTCTCCTGGCAGTGTCAGGGTGGTGTACTCTTTCACCAGGAGATGCAACACTGGCTGTCTCTCTCTTTGAAATATTAGTAGTCATTGATTCTTAATATTTACATCTGCTGATTCAATCAAGATGGAGTGCAGTATTTTAATTCTTTTTTAAGAACAAAAATGTGCGTCAGTGTACAGGCCAGACTTCAGTAATACAAGTGTTGTGATGATCAGTGCTTCTTTCATGTAAGTTATTTACTGTTGCTTTGATAGTATGAATAAGGATCATGAAATTAATGGGTTGCCAGTAATATGTGCTGTGGCTTATTTTAAACTTTTTATAATGCTGCGGAGTGCTGATCACTTACTTTCCAAGAGAAACAGTGGTAATTGAGGATCATGGAAAGAATAGGGTTCATTAACAGAGAAGAGCAAGTCTGTAGTAACAAACATATGCTTGTCCGTCAGGTCTAAATTACTTGAGATTGCACTCATGTTAAATCTTTTCACATACTTTTAATAAGCACTGTGTGCATTTGAATTGTTGATTCACAGATGATAGGTATTAATACAGTTCATCCTCCACCCTCAGTTCCTAAGAGGTAGTGATTGTTAACCTGGTTTTAATTTCTGTGTGAAAAGAAAGGTTTTAGCAAATGCTCTGCGTAAGAGTCTTATTCAGTGTCTGGATACATTTTTTACACATAGAGCATGATTAAAAGAGTAAGTCACTGTTGATAATCTCCTTTTCAGGTTGTCTTGCGCTTCCCAAGTTGAATCTGCAGTTTTTGACTCTACATGACTACCTCCTAAGGAATTTCAATCTCTTCCGCTTAGAATCAACATATGAAATCAGGCAAGACATCGAGGACAGTGTCAGCAGAATGAAGCCATGGTTAGTAAATTGGTTTCACCTGTAATGAAGAGTGTATGCAGTAACTCGTACACTTCTGTCAGAAACTCTTTTAAGTGTTTTTAAAATATATACCTGGCATGAAGATGCCTTCCAAAATAGAAGTTCTGTGGTGTGAATTAAAATACATCAGAAGTGCTAAAACATAAAATAATGCATCTTAGTACTTGGAGGTGGGGTTGGGGAACTCGGGATAGGAAGGAGATATTGTCCTGCTTAGGCAGGAAGGGAGAAATGTCCAGGGGAGTAGGCTGGACTTTGTGCGGGTAAAGAGGGAGGTCGTGGATGACCAGCCTTCTGTACTAGAGCAGGATAGTCATGGGTGAAGTGAGAATAAAGGGATAATTTCTCTACTCCCACTGCTCTTGGACTTGCCTGTTAGCTCCAGCCAGCTCAGGCCCAGTTTCTCTGGGAATTTGGCCAGGGATGAGGGGTGTGACTGGAGGTACATTGCAAAGTTTTCTGAGGCCCTCTGTCCAGAGATGCCTTGAAGAAACTAAATTACCAGGATTTATTTGTAGGACTAGTTGAGTAGGCATAGTTATTTGAGGAACACTTCTGTTTAAATTTGACTCTTTACCTGCCAGCTTATATCTGGAATTTCTTTAAGAAAAGTCTTTCATTCTAGTTATGGTTGATGGTTCTGCATTATGGGATTTCTGAAGATTCATTTTAGGGTTTTTCTTTTTTTTTTATTGGCGGTACTGATGTTTGAACTCAAGACCTCACACTTGCGAGGCAGGCATTCCACCACTTAAGCCACTCCACCAGCCTGAATTTTAGCTTTTTAGATTTGATTGACTTTGAGTAAATGCTCTTCATTGCAAATCAGTAAACTTAATTCTGTGAAATGCATTTTCATTTCTTTACAGTTATACTGTGTAAGCAGATTAAATTTATATACTGCATTTTATTTCCATATACTGACTCAAGTATCTTCCAGGCTTCTCTGTTTACTAATTACAGAGAGCTAACATAGATGCTGTGATTATGGCCTGGTTTTTTTCTGTTCCATATTTTATTTTATACACAGTTCTATTTTCTAATTAGTTGTCATGTGAAAAGTTATTCTGGTGAGACTACAAAACACAACACAGTATTTTTGACTTAATAATCAGTTGAGTCCATGAGCAGCCAGCACTGTGAGATGTGACACTGCTGGCTGATTGTCCCGCCCACGGCTTGCTGAGCTCACTGCCCATTGTTGGGACCCGGCGGGAGCGCTTCACCAGAGAGCCTCCTTACAATTATGGTTACCTTGATTTGATGTGTTTACATTCAGGGCCTAATTTTGGCCATTTTGCAAAATAGCGATTTATTAACTAGCAGTTCAACAAATAGAATTCACTTATATTTTATTTAAATGCCAAATAAAACAAAAATGCTTGAAGTTCTTATGGTCTATTAATAGAGGAAAACAACTTTAATTACAGCATTTTGTGGTGGGAGAAAGAAAGTGTCACTTTCTGGAGTTAATTCATTCACATTTGTAATAATAAAATTTTCTAAATTTACATTCCAAGAGCCATCTTTGAAGACTTAAAATGATGGGATTGAGAACAGGGCAGACTTTGTCCTGTGCCATGTATCCTGAAGGTGGGAAAGTGTCCTCTGCCTCTTTCTGCCCATTGTTTCTGTGAACACATGTTCAGGCTGTGGACACCTAGTGGTACCCTCACGAGGGGTGCACAGCTATGCTTTTCAGTGCATTGCACTCCAGGTAGACTGTACAAGATAAAGAAGAAAGGGGACTGGATGAGTGGTCCCTGGAATGGGAGCAGGAAGTGAGTCAGTTGGATAAGAAGGATCTTTTTTAAGGATGGTGAAAGTGTTCTGAAATTCCATTGTGTAAATTTACTAAAAGTCCTTGAATTGTATATTGAGAATGAATGGGTTTCAGAAAAGTGTGTCACTTCTGCTTTAGACTGATTATCCAATGTGTCAGTAGTGATAGAAAATTATTTTATATGGTTTAAACCCAAGGTAATACCTTTAGAAATTGTACCACTGCTAAGCTAACCAAGCATTGGTTGCAGAACTTTTATTTTTAAGTAGTTTCTCTTGATTCTATGAAGTTGTATGACTTTTCGTTCAAATTTTGTAGTGCTGCTGCAGTTTTTGTTTGTTTGTTTTTGAGGTACTGGGGCTTGAACTCAGGGCCTTCCCCTTGAGCCACTTCACTAGCCCTATTTTTGTGATGGGTTTTTTCAAGATAGGGTCTCACAGAACTATTTGCCCTGGCTGACTTCGATCTGTGATCTTCCTGATCTCTGCCTCCTGAGTAGATAGGATTATAGGCATGAGCCACTGGTGCCTGGCTGCGGCGGTTTTTGTATTTTGATTAAACTTTAATTTAAAAACAAAGTACAAGTTAGACTAACATGGAGAATAGGCATTGAGATATTAGTGGCTCTAGTTACTACAATTAGCTTATTTTTCCTTCCAATCCTCAGCATCTTCTAAGTCATTTCATTTAAACATTATATCCTAAAGGAGGTGTTTGTATAAATATTTGTTTGCATATTTTTATTTTTTTAAATTATAGCTCGTTCTAAAATGCATTTGAAGCAACTTATAAAATAACTACAGAATATAAAAATATTAGCAATTGAGACTTTTATGGAAAGGGGATAAACATATAAAGTAAAACTAAGTAAACCTGTCCTTTAGAAATGAAGGTGAGATAAAGACAAAAAGCTAAGGGTGTTCACCACTAGACCTGCCTTTAGGAGTTCTTCAAGGTGAAGTGGAAGAATGCCAGTCAGTAACAAGAACAGACCCTGAGTAGTTCAAGCAATCTGGCTCAAGAAGAACAAAGCTGGAGGCATCACTCTTCTGGTTTCAGATTATATTACAAAGCTACTGTGATGAGAACAGCACACATAGAACCGTATATAAGAACAGAAAGCCCAGGGGTGAAGCATGCACATAAGACACCTGCCAAGAATACACAATAGGCAAAGGATGATCTTTTCAATAAATGGTATTGGGAAAAAGGATAGATATGCCTGCAAAAAAACCCAACATTAATCTCTGTGTTATGCTGTATCCAGAAATGAACCCAAAATAGACCGAAGACTTAACCTAGGACCAGAAACCATAAAGGCCCTCGAAGAAAACAGCTATTATGTTGGTCTTAGCATTGACTATTTTTTTGATACAACACAAGCAAAATTAAAACCAGTGGGGACTGCACTGATCTAAGCACTTATTGCACAGCACAGAAACAACTAATTGAAAATGAAACCCTAAGAGACAGGAGGAAAAGTTTACACAGCATTCTCTAATAATAGGTTAATACCAAAAATGTATAAGGAATACATACAACTCCATAGCAAAAATAAATAAACATAAAAGGCAAAAGATCTGAATGACATTCTCCCAATGAAGGCATGCAGATGGCCAGCAGATATAAATAGGTGTTCATTGTCACTTATCATCAATGGGAGTTAAGTTCAAATCACAGTTAGGTTATCACTGAACACCTGGTAGGATGGCTGTTGTCAGAAGCTCAGAGACAGCTTCCCACCTGTTAGTGGGAATAGAAATTGGTACAGCCATTATCAAAGGCAGTGTGGCAGTTTCTCAGAAATGAAAACCCTGTGATCCAGCAGTCCCATTTCTGAATGTAGATCTGAAGGAGGTGAAACCACTATCCTGAACAGTATCAGTGCTGTTTTCATCACAGCACTATTCACAGTAGCCAAGACAGGAACATACCTGTGGCCATGAGGGTTAACCTGTGGCCAAGAGTATAAAAATGTGTGTACTTATACATACACTAGAGCTTTGAAAAGGAAGGAAATCCTACTGTGGATAACCCATTCTAGGACTTAAACACTGGCTGAATATGTTTTCTTGGAAGTTTTACTTGTCTAAGTGTTAACGGGGGTTGCAGCTGCACTGTTTTCTGTTGGCATAATCATCCACTTCTTTGGCTTTCAGGCAGTCTGAGTACGGTGGTGTAGTGTTTGGTGGCTGGGCACGGATGGCCCAGCCCATTGTGGCCTTTACTGTAGTTGAGGTTGCCAAGCCCAACATAGGTGAGAACTGGCCAACCCGAGTTCGTGCAGACGTCACCATCAACCTGAATGTCAGAGATCACATCAAAGATGAGTGGGAAGGTAATTCTGTATTTCAGAAGTGAAGTCACTGTTTGCCTTTTTAGTGCATAGGTTTTCACTTAAAGTATTAGCATAATACTTTTACTGAATGTTGTCTTTTTTAAACTTTTGTTCATTTTTAACCTTGAAATTTGATTTAAAGAATGGCAGTTGAAGCTGGGCATGGTGGTTTGTGCCTATAATCCCAACAATCTGAGACCAGCCTGAGCTGCATATAGAACTTGTCTCAAAAAAAACCCAACACAAACAAGCAAAAAGAAATGCATTTGTTTTCTAATTACCAGTAGTAAAAGTACATAGGATTTTGTGTGTATTTGTTTTAATAGCATAGAATCATACCTGTCAAAGGTTTTGAAAGCTGCAGTTTCAAAGCAAGCATTTTTACTCATGTTTGGCTAGATGTTCATGGACTGTAGGGTCAATACAAAAAGAATAGAAATGTTTGTGCTCTCCAGAGAGGTCAGAACCACAAGTAATGTGTATATGTGTACTTACAAGGAAGACTCAATATTTTCAAAGGGTAAAAGAATAGGGATGCAAATACTTTGTGAAGAGAATAAAGATCAGAAAGGAATTTGGGTGGGGAGAGAGGTAGAGTAGAATAACTCGGAAGGAAGCAGTGGTTTGTTTTTACTGCAGGAAGAGGGCCAATAAAGAGCCAGCAAAATCAGATTTTCTCAAGGGTGTGCCACAGCTGCATAGAAATTAAACCACTTGTTTTCCTATTTTTTTAAGATTTTAGGGATGAAATGTCCAGAGTTAGTTAGTCAAAAGAATGAAAACATCGCTAACACCTGTGCCAGAAGTGGCACATGTATTTTACCCCAGCTGTCTGTAAGAGCTCTTGCTTGCAGCCCTGTTGTGAGAAATAGCAGCTAGTAGCTTTAATCTCCTGCCACCTTCTTTGAATACCGGAGGAAAGGGTTAGTCCTTTAATGGGTCGGTTTTCAGAAGTTGTTGCTCCCAGCATAGCTGTAACCTTGGGGAATGTATGATCTATTTACCTAAGAATTCTGAAGGCACACAGCAGTGACACTGGCCATCTGTTTTAACAGATGGCCACTCCAGTGGGTGTCATTGGTGATATTGGTTCTGTGACTTCTGTACCCTTCCAGAGAAGTCCATTTTGAACTTCTAGAAAGGGTGTATCTTTATTGTTGCAGAACCTGGAAAAAAATATATATATAAACTTTCTAGACAAGGTCTTGTGCTTATCACTCCCTGAAACCTAAGGAGGAGTAAACACAGTTTCTCACTGTTTCTCCCTCTTCCTCCCCTGTCTCTCTCCTTGCTCCTCTTCCTCTCTTCCCTCTCTCTGTTCCTATCCTTTTTTCTGTTCCTCCCCTTCTTCCCTCCCTCTTTCCTCCTCCCTCTTCCTTTTCCTATCCTCCTACCCTTCTCTCTCCTCTCCTTTAAATGTAGGCCTTTGAGAGAATTAAATAGAATGGGTATATTTTGATGAACAAGATAGGGAGCAGTGACGTGTTTGAGGATGAGTGATTCATTTTATGGGATATTGTGGGCCAGCACCCAGATTCATCTCCTGAATTTATCATGGGAGCCAAAAAAATGAAAGAAATACTCTATAAATAGTAATGGAAGTGTTGCAAAATCAGAGAAAAGTTTTGAAAAATTTAAAGTAAAAAATCAAAAGTTTCCTTTTACACCTCCAGAAGATTTGAAGCTCAGGCCCTTATCTCCCCCTCTCTCCCATAAAGAAGCAGAATTACCAGAACTGAATGGTGAGTGTGCTCCAGAAAGCATGGCTAGGAGTCGGTGAATACAGATGTTTGGGGAGAGAGAGAAGTGAGCTTACTGTGATGCAGGTTTAGAAAATGTAGACGTTAGACATCCTACAGTGTGATAACTTCAGTGGGGAGTGCTAGCGCTTAGAAGTTTCAGTGCATTATGCAGATTCCTTGTGCAGGCAGTGTAACCGAGATAGAACGACCGTGCCCGTGGTGCCCCTTGCCTTTCCTGTGTCTGCATAGAACTTCAGTATTTACTGACAGAGGTCTTTCTAGCTTTACCCGCTCTCAAACACTACAAGTGGAAACAAACCCTAAGGGTCCTAGTAATATGAACCACACATTCACATTGCCTATTTAACTCAGGTGTGGATCTCATTAACTAAGATAAGCAAGCAGACTATTTAAGTTTACAATTATATCACACAGTAGCTAACAAAAATGAACCAGAAAAGAAATGAAGATGAAGTGGTGTGACAGTAACTTTAGTTTTCCTTGTCCTCTGTTATCTGTACTTGAACTAGGAAGCCAATTGGGTCCATTTTTGATCTGGTGACTGACAAGCTTTGGATGTTGGCACAAATCTATTTCTTGACATTCACCTATAAAAATTTTCACTATTTGCTAACTGAAACTATATGTTCAGCTGTCTTTCTGTAGACAGGATTTGTAAACAGAACTGTTTTAGTGAAGTACAGTTTGGCTGTGGTTGGAATGACACTGATAGATAGCTTAAACTGGTGGCAGAAACCTGCTAGATAAGACACAGATGAATTATATGCCAACCATATTTTTGGTCACTTATTAAGAATGTTAAAAATAGGAGCGATGACGAACATACAATTTTGGAGCTGCAGCAAGAGTTGGAAGGCTTATTCAGTAATGAACTCATGGCATAAAATTTTCTAATTTTAATACAAAACGGTTTTAATTATTGCTATGAAATACTGAGTGTTAGCAAACAATTATATGAAAATCATCTTTGTGTTACACAGATGGAATCATTGGTGACCGTTTTTATTGTAAATATTTTACATATTTAAACATAAAGTGTCTTTATGTTTTATTAGGTCTTCGTAAGCATGATGTCTGCTTCTTAATTACCGTGCGTCCCACAAAACCTTATGGCACTAAGTGTGACCGGAGGAGGCCTTTCACTGAGCAGGTCGGCCTGGTTTACGTTCGAGGCTGCGAGGTCCAGGGCATGCTGGATGATAGGGGTCGCGTCATCGAGGACGGTACGCTGCTCTGTGCGGAGAGTGCACAGTGACAAGCTTGTTTGCCTTTTCCCTTTTTGCCTTGTAGGTAAAAATTTTAGCTGTCTTGCATATTACAGACAAAAGAGATTATGTCTAAAATATAAGTGTGTGTGGAACATACTTCATGGATTTAGAAATAGGTATTATGGTTCAAAACTTCTGTGGTAAATGTTTTGAAATAGCACATTATACCTCATAAATACACACCTTTATTATGTGTCATTAAGTATTGTTAAGACTTCTAGGTTAGATGTTAGAAAGGATGGGAGCTTTCCAAATCACATTTATTCAAATCTTTTACAATACTTCATGATTTTAATTTTAGAAACCTCTAAACACCTCTTGGAATTGTTCAAAGCTTTCTGTGTTGAATGATGTAAGTGTCTTAATTTTCTTCCATCTTAAGTTTTACTACTTTGATTCATTATGGCAGTGGTTCTCAACTAGAAACAGTTCTGCCCTGCATTTGGAAATTTATGGTGACATTGAGATTGTCACAGCTGGGACAGGGATGGTGAATGGCAGGCTCTTGGCATTTTGTGGCTGAGGTCCAGCATCACCCTCCTCAAAACCTGCCCTATGAGGCCATCAGCTCTTGAATTCTCATGCTTGGCAATGTTCATCCCTTTGAATTCTTTCTTCTGTTGTCCTGACTTCCTTTGTAAAAACACTTGTGATTAAATTACAGCTGCATCCTTCTCATGCTTATTTCACAGCTTCACTTCCTTCAAAACTTGATCAGCGTCTGCCATCTGTGAGTTTGAGATCAGGCAGTTGCTAAACTGCTGATGGTTAAGCCATTCCTTTCTGGAATGGAGGCAGAATAAACCCAAGGCCATGGTCTGACCCTAAACAGGAGAGAAGGCTCAGGAAGAGACTCTGAACTTTCAGCTACTAGTATCTCTGTGTATGAGGTTTCCTTCTGTGCTGGCGATACTAGGTGGAATGTGGAAGGTTGAAAAGATTGATCAACCTTTGCCAAATTAAGAAATAGAAAAGCTACATCCTGAATTGTAAAGTACATCCAATTATTTAACCAGAACATATTTACTGAGTCCTTAAGTATATGTAAGGCCCTGGTGAGAGCTGTGGGTGACTGACAGAAGTAAAGAAATGGTCTTTGACTTCTGCACGCTCCTGTTTTAGCTGAGGGCAACTCATGCCGCTGTGTCTACATACTACATGGGTTGGGAAAAAAAAAGGTAGAAGGATGTTGTAAGGATGGGTGGCTGGAGTCTGGGCAGTTTACCCTCATTTGTAGAAAATAGATACTGTTAACTTACTCTGCATTTGAAAAGTGTATTTTCATTTTAACAAACTTTAATAAATGTCCAGGACCTGAGCCCAGACCCAATCTTAGAGGGGAGTCAAGGACATTTAGAGTGTTTTTGGATCCAAACCAGTATCAACAGGACATGACCAATACAATACAAAATGGAGTAGAAGATGTGTATGATACCTTCAACGTGATAATGAGGAGAAAACCAAAGGAAAACAACTTTAAGGTAACTTCTTGATTCTGTCTCTAAAAGTACTCACATCATAATTTAAGTAATTCTAAAACATATATGCATCAGTATTAGATAAAAAAGATTTGTTAAGAAAACCATTGCTTTTTTATTCTAAATAATCCTCTTGAATTCTTAGCATGCTGATTAAATATAAAATTTAAGGATATTCATTTGCTGAATCAATTTGTCTTGAGGAGGTAAAGTCATGAACAAGCCCAGGATTGCTGTAAAGGTCAGCCTGTATTAGATACTCAGTATATGCCCCAGTATGAGGTGTGGGAAGTGGTTTACTTATGTGTTGGGGATTTAGATTAAAAATAGGTGAACTTCCAAATATCTTTAGGAATATATATGCAGAACCTTAAGGCTCTGAATTACTTTATGCTTTAGTAGAGTGATACTTTTCTCAATGGGAAGGGGAGACTTGGGAACTTATAGTTTTACTTTTATAATTTGGTAGGGAGAAGAATTTTACTAAAGGGAGATTCAAAAGTTACTATTTTAAATTACATTATAAAACTTTAAGATTGAGCAGTTGTAACATCTTTTAACATGTAGTTGTGCAGTGTGCCTCTCTTTTCTCTCCGCCCCGAAGTGCATTACTTCTTGTATATTCCTGTCCCTTTATGGCCTTCTCTTAATGATTGCTGTGTGAAAATAAATGAAACCTCTCACATAAAGGAACTCATTCTCCACCTTGCAGTGTTGCTGAAGACGTAAAGCAGTGGTGATACCCTTGATTTCTTTTTGTCTCTCACTCCACATCCGATTATCGGTGGTCCGACTGGCTCTCCACCTGCCTCAGTGCCATGTCCAGACACTGTCTTCTCTCACACCCCTGCTTCTTTCTTGACTGCTCTCCACTTAGTGGCAGAAGAAGCCTTTTAAGAAGTGAATTGTAGCTGGTGGAGTGGCTTAAGTAGTAAAGCAAGCACAAGACCCTGAGTTCAAGCTCTAGTACCACAAAAACAAAAAGATGTAAATTGTCTTTGTTAATATCTCCTCAGCATTCTGTAATGATTCCTATCACATTCAAAAGTCTTTACATAACCTAGAGACGTGCCTCTAGGCACCTGACACTGCCCGCTTTCTTCTGTCCTTTTCCCTCGTTCATTTCATAGCAGCCACAGTGACCTTTTCTGCTGATTAATAGCACAAGGCTTTGCACATGGCGCTCCCTCTCCCTAGGCAGTTTTCCTCAGCATAAATGTCACCTCCTAAGAGAGGCCTGCCCTGGTGATCTTACCGCAGGAGGTGAGATTACCTACTTTATTCTCCACATCTTGCTAATCTCTGCCCTTTAGCGCTTTTTTTTTCCTCAGTGCCCTTATCATACCTGGTACTTATAGCTGAGTTCCTCATTAGATTTCAAGTATGTGAGGGGAGGTGCTCTGTTTTGCCTGTTGTGTATAGCATTTGTAAAGCAAATAAAAAATGGAAAAGTCTGTTTCCAAGTTTTTAGTATCTGGGATGGTCTCACACTTAGTGAATCTCAAGTCATTTATTTATTTGACCATTTTATTTAATGTCTATTTTGTGTCTGATATTGTACTAAACCTTATAAAGATAAATAAGACATGGTTTTCACCTTCAGGGAGCTTAACTACAGTGCAAGAGTTAAGAGATATAAGTCCATAACTGCCATGAATGATTAGGAGGTGCCACAGATATGAGAAGGGTGCAGGTGACAGTGCCACAGGAGGTCAGAGAAGGAAAGGGGGTGGTTCTCTTGTGCACCTGGACTGCACACCTCATTTATTCCCTTCTCTTTTCCAGTCTGCATAACCTCTTCTAACCTGGACACTTCACTTCTTACTGGGACCGTTGGCTGGCCTCTTTCTCTTCCTAGTCTCCTCACAATCAGGTGCACCTGTTTTTCACACTCGTCCTATTGCTGGGTCATTTTAATCTGCTTCTTAAAACATTTCTGCGACTTTGCACTCATGAAAAAATAAATAGACCTCTTCAGAAAGTTTTTACTCAAGCTAAACTAAAATTGTTTATTTGAGGTAAATTTCCTCTGAAACCTTTCCTAATCTTAAATCTCCCCTGCATCCATTTCCCATCTCTGGGGCCACACTCCCATCATAGTTCGTGATGGTCTTCATCTTGTACCACGTTCTGTTGTTTTATATCATTGTCAAGCACTTTATCTCTAATTCCCTTAGAGATCAGAGTTCTCATCTTAGTCACCAGTGCTACGTGAACCTTCTCTATGCTTTTCATCCATTCAACCATCCTCTATTTAAACTCTTCTAGGTCCTTATTTTTCTGGAGATTTTGTTAGTGTGGCTTAAACAAATGGTAAGCGAATAGCCAAGTCTCAACAAAGAGTGATAAGTGCAAGTACATAGAACTAGGCAATTCAGTTAACATAGACTGTACAAGTAAAGTTGATAGTGTGTTTTTTTTAAGGTTGGGTTATATATATTGAAGTTGGATTTTAAAGGTTTTGTTAAGTTGGAAATTTATGATTAAAGAATTATCATTTAGGTTATTTTATTTGAAACTAATAACCTTGCCTCCTAATTTCCTTGTGTGGGAAATGGTTTTTTGGCTGTCTCAAAGTTTGCCTTGACTTTTTGGTAATGCCTCTTGACCGTGTATTTGCTAATTGCTATGATCTTTTATTGTAGTCCTAAATCTTTCATTCTGTTTTATTGTTTTGTTCATTTTTCTTCTTATTTCTCACTGTACTGACTTGAGTATTTCTAAGTTGTGGGCTCTTTCACAACTGAGGCATGCATTAATGTTTCTGATTGTGGGGTGTTAGCGTTAAAGAGCTATGGGGTACAAAAAGAGTGGAGACTTCAGGAGTGTCCAAGAAGAAGCATTTTCTTTAAGGGCTTGTTCAGTGCTTTTTGCTGTTGGGTTGGGTTGATGTGAGTCTGATTTTTGTCCTACTCAGTAGGAGCCAAGTGGCATACTCACGTATGTCATTCTGTCGAAGTGAACACTTAACGGATAAACTGTTCTTGCTAAGTTCAGTCTTTTGTTTAGCTCAGCGTATGGTATCAGCTGAAAATATATAGCTGTCGATTCAGTCCAGCCAAGCACCTGTCAGCAGAAAATAGCTTCTTGCCCTGAAACACTTGGGACTCTGGATTAGTGCACCAGCTCTGCGTTCCAAAGAGTCCAAATGTTTCAGATGTCTTGCATTGACACTCTTTTCTGTTCTTTTGCTCACAGGCTGTGCTGGAGACTATTCGGAACCTGATGAATACTGATTGTGTGGTGCCTGACTGGCTGCATGATATCATCTTAGGTTATGGGGACCCAAGTAGTGCCCATTATTCAAAAATGCCTAATCAGATTGCCACCCTTGATTTCAACGATACCTTTCTCTCCATTGAGCACTTGAAAGCCAGCTTCCCTGGTCACAATGTCAAAGTCACTGCTGACGACCCAGCTCTGCAGATACCCCCGTTCAGGTAAAGTCAGCCATAAGCACTCAGGGTTAGACCACAGCACTGTTGATTGAACTGCGTTTTGACTATTATATCTGGATTTTGCTTTAGCAATCCCTACCATCACCATGTAATTGCTGGGATGTTTATTATATTTGAATCTGTTTTGAACTCTTAGTGGAGAACCTATTTTAAGACCACAAGCTTCATGTCATATAAAGGATCAGTCAGCATGTGTTGTCTGAAGAGAACTGCATGAGCACATTATTTGACTAAAGAAATAGATCTTTGCATATTGTACATACTCTAGTGTAATTCCCAGTTAATGCACACAAGCATGTGATGCTCAACTTTATTTTGATTTTTTTCTTTGAACCTTTACTGCTTTCAGAGATTTTAAATGCAGGTCGAGTACCCTTTATTTAAAGTGCTTAGGCCAAGAAGTATTTTAGATTTCTGGGTTTTACAGATTTTGGAGTATTTACATAACTTTACCAGTTAAGAATTCTAATCTGAAAGTCTGAGATCTGAAATGTTCAAAATCCAAAATTTTTGAAGCTTCAGATTTTGGAACATTTTAGAATTGGAATTTTCAAATCAGAGGTCGTGATGTGGATTCAGAACATTGTGACTTTTAATGTTAAACGAGCTTTTGGTTTAAAATTTGAGCAGAAGGAGAGTGAACTATCTGAAGCACGTGGTTGTAGATTAGAGACGACACGCGCAAGTACCTGTGGTGGTAATACATGGGTTACCTTCTCCACTAGAACTTAGAGCACACACCTCCAACTGATGGCTAAGTATGAACGTAATTCAACATGCTGAAAACATCCTTCATAGCACCCACACCATGTGCACAAATTCTGTTCCCCCCTCAATGTTGAAATCTAGCATTATTTTTGAGTCTCTTTACTCTCATGACTTGTTCCATATAGCTACATTCTGCTTGAGGAGCAGTGCTGTCATCTGTCACTCCTGGTTGCTATGCCTCCAGTCTTTATGGTGGTGGTGGCTTCCCTGCCTGTCTCGTCACTAGAAATGATCCATGCCTAAAAGCCGATTGTTTCTGTTGATCCTAACCTCTTAGCTTCTTGAGGTCTCAGCAGTTTTAGGTACTGTCTGACCTTTTAAGAATGTGAAAGATGACTGAGAAAAGTACACGTAGAGGGTTAATTGCTAAATTTAGTTTTTAGGAGCTCATGAATTCCCTTGGGTATCTGTGGAGCATTGCCCCCTAACTGCAGGCTGGAACCTCTGCCTTAAGAGCTTGAGGCATCATGACAAGGCTCTAGCCTGTCTCTCTCCCTCTGTCTGTCTCAGGGCTCCAGCAAAATGTAGCCACTTGTCCTTGCTTTTACTTCCATCCCTCCCATCATACCTGTACTTGCCCTTGGAAGTCTTTCTTAATTAAACATGAAGCACATGAATAAAAACACTTTTTAGTGTGTATGACATAAATATTTAATGTTCTTTGATTCTCCCATTAAAGGGATGACTTTTTCCTCACCCAAAGACACAAGATAGGTGCTTAGTAAGCCTTACTTAATTGTAAAAATGAACAAAGGCTTTGCTCTTGTAGGATAACTTTCCCAGTAAGAAGTGGAAAGGGGAAGAAAAGGAAAGATGCAGACACTGAAGATGAAGACACTGAAGAGGCAAAAACCTTGATTGTTGAACCTCACGTCATTCCCAATAGGGGTCCTTACCCCTACAACCAGCCCAAACGGTGAGTCCACTACCTGTTTTCATGATGCTCTGCTGCTTAAAATGAGTCAGTGGTATTTTTACATTTTCTAATTCTTTGAAGACCTTGGTATACTTTTGTTCCTTCTTTTCTGTTAGTTGGCTGAAGACCCAGACATTTACCCAGTCTCAATAATAATTTTTTAAAAAGAAGCATTTTTAGATGCTGAGGAAAATCAGTGTCACAGGGCTGCCTTAGTTCAAGCACAGTTTCTACTTCACAACCCCATGCTATATGTAGCAGTAGCCCTCGTGGATGTGTGCCATAACTAAAAAAGTGTCATTGTATTTAGGAATTGGAACTTTGGCAGACCAAAGGAGGTCTGGAATGAGCTACATGTAGTGAAAACTGGTCTTTCCATAAGATTTTTCTGTGTAGTCATTTTGGGGCCAGGGGTAAAAGTAAAGAGTTGCGCGTGTGCAGGACAGACCTTCACCCTCAGCTGTTGCTGTCCAGATTTATGAATGTCATTGGTGACTCCTAACTATGCTTTATGTGCTCTTGTGTTTGCAGCAATACCATTCAGTTCACTCATACACAGATAGAGGCCATCCGCGCTGGAATGCAGCCCGGGCTGACTATGGTAATAGAACTGCTGTTACATGTTGCTACTGGATTAAGAGTAGAATAAGTACTTGTGGCATCTTCTGCATATGGAGATCTTGCTGCTCACTTTAGTGTCCATAAATACAGCTTTATTAGAATGTGATCATGCCTGTCAATTCTATATTACTAATGGCCACTTTTGTGCTATAGTCACAGAGTTAAGTATGTGCAACAGAGATTGTGTGGCCCGCAAAGCCTATGATGTTCACTCTCTGCCCTTTGTGGAAAAGGTGTCCCAATAACTGATTGAAAAGTATGTTTCATTTCCAAGTTTTTGGAAATTTTCCTGGACATTGTCTTTCAGTTATTGATTATGGTCTGACCATATGATTACTGTTTTCCTTTTTAATTTATTAAGATTTATTGTGTGGCCTAGAATATGCTCTGTGTTTGTGAACTTTCACATGCATTAGAGCTCTGTAGAGCAAACTTTAAGTGTCCATTATATCCTTTTGGCTAGTTTTGTTCAGTTATTCTCTCTACTTGCTGATGGATGGTTTGTCCACTGAAACAGTCATTGCTGTTGATTGCTGAGAGAAGATTGAATTCCCCACCTATAGTTAGGAGTTTATCTGTTTCTCTTTTCATCTCTGGAAGTTTCTGTGTCCTGTATTTTGGAGCTTTGAGGATGGGTACACATGTCTTCAAGGTTATTGTGTAGTCTTGGTGAATTGACCCTTTACTATTATGTAAATGCCCCCATCACTGCAGTTTGCTCCAAAGTCCACTGTGGCTCATATTAACAGTCACTATACCTTCCTTTTGAGTGATGTTTGCGTGATATTTCTGTCTTACCATTTTACTTCTAACGTCTCTAGTTTATTTGAAGTGAGTGTCTTTTAAACAGCCTATTCTTAGGATCTGTTACTTTATTTTCAGCCATTATTTCTTCAAAAATTTTTCCTATCCTGGGCACATTTTCCTTTCCTAGGAATTCAGTGACATGGATATTAGACTTTTTGATACTATTACAGAGACTTCTGAGTCTCTGTTTACTTTTTTTTCAATCTTTTTTTTTTGCTTTTCAGACTGGGTTATTTCCATTGATCTGTCTTCAAGTTTTCTGACTCTTGTCTATTATGTTACTAAGTCTATCCACTGAATTTTCTTATTTACTATTTAATCTTTTAGTTTTAGGATTTCCATTTTCTGGTAATGTGATAACTTAGTGTTCATCATGTTTTTAGGTTGTGGGCCCACCTGGTACAGGAAAGACAGATGTGGCAGTCCAGATCATATCCAACATCTACCACAATTTCCCAGAGCAGAGGACACTAATTGTCACTCACTCCAACCAGGTAGGTGACAGGGTATGTGTAGGGAGGGTGTTCTTTCACATTAAAACTGGAAACGTTAGCCAGCCCTAATCAGTAGCATTTTTCTTTATTTAGTAGAATGGATATTCCTAATGACTAAGGTGTTCAACTGAGTAGTACTCTGCTCTGTTCTTCTGAATGTTTGTATGTATGTGTATATGTATTTATTTGATGGTACTGGGTTTGAACTCAGGGCCTTGTGCTTGAGCCATGCCCCTAGCCCAGTTTTTACTGTTGAAAGTCACCCACTGAATTCTGAAACTCACCATCATTCTTTTACTTTATTTCCAGGCCCTGAACCAGTTGTTTGAGAAGATCATGGCTTTAGACATCGATGAGCGCCATCTGCTGCGTCTTGGTCACGGAGAGGAAGAGCTAGAGACAGAGAAAGACTTCAGCAGGTAAGCAGATTTCAAACAGTGTGCAAAAGAATTTTCAACTTTCTCTTCTTAAAGAAGCACTAAGAGGAGAGAGCTATAAATATCCAGGCTTAATTCTGAAAGGCTCTGGTGTAACCCTCTCAGACCAAATGTTAACCTTAAAGTCTGGTGATGTTCCCACTCAGCTTGTGTTCTGTGTTTGCACCATGTCACCTTCTGAGAGGACAAAGGACACTCGAGACAAACGAAGTCACAAGGCGAGGTTTATTTTCTAGCTAGCTAGGGTCCAAGCGTCC